GAATGTGTTATTGGAGAAAGAAAAGGATTCGAGTTTGGAATAATAGCGAGTGAACGACAAAATAAAGGCTTTGGTGAAGACAAGAAGGATTAGGATAGTAACTTTTTGTTGGTCCATTCAGTACTGGTTTGACTACGGCAGATTATGTAGAAACATTTCTGAAATCAGTTTAGAGGGGGTTAAGAAGATTTGAATATTCTAGGTGGTAGAGACTTGGATATGGACTAACCTCTCAAGGGTTTAGGCAGTAGTCGTTAGGAGTGGATGGATTTGGAATTTCGTTGATAGAGTGGCTTTTTGCCAGGATGAAGGAAAAGTTGTGGATTGAGTAGTTATCAATATGAAGTAAGACTGGAAGTATAACTGGGCATCAGTGGAATTTGGTGGGTATACTGTCAAGCTCTTATGGCCGTGGAACAGGATTTGGATATTGCCTAATTGGACATCATTAGGAGTTAAGTTCGAAAAATTAAAGTTAGATGAACTATAATGTGGGCCTGAGGGAAAACATAAGATGGAATTGGAACCGTAAGAGTTATGGGCAGTATTACAATGGAAATTTAGGTCTCCGAGGATGACAGTAAAGAATGAGAATGTGCTTACAGGATGACAAAGATCGAGTTTTCACAGTAGGCTCCATTTTGCTCTGGCATCTAGCATCAATGGTGAATTTTGAGATTTATGTATAGTTTGTATAAGCATATTGCAGTTTAAGGCTTCAGTTTTTCAAGAACATAGCGATGTAGTTATATAAGTTTTGCGAATTAAAGTTATTGAAATTCAAAGGTATGCGAAGTAAGTCGAAGTAAGACTTTCCTTCATCATTGTAGCTATTTTGAGATTTATGTATTCCCATTGATAAACATTGATATATTTTTGACAATTTGAAGGGCTTTTGCCTTTTTCAATTTAATATGCATGTATTTCTTTAATCATTTTTTTTTTTTTTTACTATTTTACAGGAATACAATGGTTTGTGTGCCCTGCTTTGCGATTCCGTTACTCCTGTTTCTTTGGCGTATCATTCAACCCTTTGTCATGCTGCTTTGGAAACCCAACAAAGAGGTTGAAGGAAAAGAAGTCAGCGAACAGTGCGGCAATGGAAATTCATCAGACGGCTTCCTCTCTTGTCCCTGCAGAGATAAAACAACGGTGAAAACGGCTGATGATGACAAGGAAAAAAAGGAAAACTGATCAGTTCCCCTAGTCACACGATCTTAAACGCCATTCCAAATCCTATGTTGAACAAATTATTTTGAATTTCATACTGTTTAAATATTAAATTGTCATGTTGTGTAAAACAATGGATAGTATTTTTATTTGTGCTATAATTATCTAAATAAATTTATTGTATAGTGTTTTAAATATTATTTTATACTGATTTAATGTTTTTATCTTGAATGTGGTTGGGATGAAAAGTTAGTGTCACAAGCAGGACTCGAACCCATGACCTTCGTCTGCGGTGCTGTCCTAACCACTTGGCTTCGGGACACCAACTCATCTCAACCTACGACTTTTTCAAATATCCCTCTTTTTGCCATACACTCAAATTTCAAACTTGATTATTTATTTTTTTTAAATTTTCAAATTTCTATTTGTGCTAAAAATAGTAAAAGAAGCAGGTTGAGTCAGCAACATCACTAGACTAAACTTTTCTTAACCTAGAAATATATTTTATTTGTCACCTAGAACATATTCATTTTTAAAGGAAAATATCTTGTGGTACCCTGATTATATATTGTGTGCTAATTAATTATTTGAACTGTAGTTAATTTATTGCATATTATTTGGAGATCGTGAGATGCAGTCTGGTGTGACGTAGGTTTTAGAAAAACATTTTCTTCATTGTACCAACGTTTCGGTCTTTATTAAGATCATCTTCAGGGCCTGGGATTTATAAACATTGTTTAAATTTTACAAATACATGTAGGATGTGAAAAAAAAATCAACACGATACAGGAATTTCTACACAGAAAACAAACACTTTGAGTGAGTACAAATACTTTGATTGAATCAAATTTCTAGCATTGCTTAATTTTTTTCCCACATCCTACATGTATTTGTAAAATTTAAACAATGTTTATAAACCTCAGGCCCTGAAGATGATCTCAATAAAGATTGAAACGTTGGCACAATAAAGAAAACATTTTTCTGAAACCTACGTCACACCAGATCGCATCTCACGATCTCCAAATAATCATTAACTAACAGTCTCTAAACATCACACATTATTGGATATTATTTTTTCAAACATTTTTGGTATTACTGGAAAGAGCCAATCAATCTAAGTAATTACAAGTAATGACAATGTTCTCTGGTGCAACATGAAAAACAAATTTTATTGAAGAAAGTGTTTAACCAATAGACCAAAGACAGAAACTAGGGAAAACCTAACATTTGAACTATCACAGCAATTACTTTTTTCATACTGTTTATTATTTAAAGATTTTTTTTTTCTTCAAAACAGTGAGCTATTGTCTGAAATTGAGTACAGAAAAATATTAACAAAATAGTAACAGTAAAGTATTAAAGCATAAATTTACATGCAGATGGAGCAATTCTAAGATGAAGAAGAAAAGTAGCTTTAAAATACTAGGAATTGTTAATCGATCTACATATTGGGAATCTGCTATGTACTTTTAAGTTAAATTTGATAGAAAAGCCCAGCGCTTTTTACTATAATGTACTACATGATCGGATGGGGTAATTTTAAAAAAGCCTAGTTGCCTCAGTGGGATTATGACAAACAAGTCATGAAATCTCAATGATACTACCCCTGAGGATACAAATAAGTGATCCTTTTTGTTCTGCCTCTGCATACCTATTAAATTATGTTGCATAGGTAGTAGACACCAATTGGCCACAAAACCACCAAAATCACTGGTCATATTCTAGAGTTTTATCTTACATTGCTAAGCAAGAGAAATATGAGTTTAATCTGCAATTTGAGATCATTTATTTGAACGTGCTCTTTTCGCGCATCTAACTCGTCTCATGAAGTCTGATATTGGAAGTGTTTTTGCGATTTCAAACTTAAAACAAACCAAGTTCTGACATGGGTAAAGAATGAAGAATTAACAAAATGTCAAGTGAGGTGTAGGCAAATTCCAAGTAGCAAATGCTGTAATAAAAAGCTTCAAATTGCAAACATTTGAAAAAGAATCGAGGTGTACCAGAGGGGTCAAAATACAATTGGAATTCCTTCTATTGCCATCAAAGGTGGTCTTATTGACACTTACTCAAATCAGTTCCTTCTGAAAGGAAAAAATCATTATTAACATACTTTCATGGGGTGATTCTAAGTAACCGATTATGATGGGAAGATTTTTTTCTGGGCTCTTAGTACTGTCATACCCTGCTGCTTTGCAGAGCCATGACCCACATAACTTTTTTTTTATTGAAAAGAAAATATGTATTATATTAACAATACATTAAGAGACCGGATTTTTATGCGGTTGCATAGTTTGCCACCACATACGACCGAGAAAATCAATTATCTCTCCAAATCGTGTATCTACTACAAAGCTGTATGTTAACTTTTAAAGAGCATATTTGATTAATATTACATAAAATTGCATGTTTGAAGGATTTTTACGTAAAATCCATTTATCACGCAAAATATTTAAAAAACTCTTGTTAGTTTTCGGAGGAAGCATACACAAGTTCTGTAAAAAAAAGTTGACGAAAAGTGTAAAAATTATAATTCAAAGAAAACAAACAGGCAGCAACGACTGGGAGAGATTCTAGAAATACCGACCAAAGAATATAAACCCCTTTTTAGGGCTTATTTCAATATTCTCACAAATTTTAAGTGACCATAGACACTATTTCACAGAAGACAATTTAGAGAAGTATTTGTTTATTAAATTAATTATACTCAATTAGTATAAAATTTATAATTTAATTATGTAAGTGAGAAAATATTTTTGTTAAATGTAGTTTTTGTTAAACTCTAGGAGGCCACAACGGTTACACTGGCACGGCGCTCATCACTGAAGTAAAATTTCAATTATCTATATTTTTGTTTAATGTTACTATAATAGTAAAAAAACTGGTTTACTGCATATTATTGCATATTTTAACGTATATACTGCATATTTCAGGCTTTCAACTGCACACTTTATGGCATATTTTGGCAATTTTTACTGCATTTAATTCTATAACTAATGAGGTAATCATATATATCTTTATAATGATTAAATTTTAATAATCAATTAATAAACATTTTTTTAACTAGAGCACATTCAGCCAATTAACTCTTGAAATATATTCACCAAGCATTCAAAGAAAGAAAAATGAAAATCATTTAATCATTGAAAATATCGATCGATCTTTCATGGAAAGAAATTTTCGCAACATTTCACAATGGTAGTTGGACCAGATATGAAGAAAATATTTTTTTACAATTAAATTAATATCCCATAACTGTCCAATAAAGGGAGAACTAAGTGGAGAATCCATGGGAGAAGACATCGTCAACATCCGACAAACAAGAACTTCTGGAACTAAAATTACAAGTAGAAGCGGAAATAAAAGAACTGATTGTTAAGAAACACGGTGAATTTTATCAACAAAAAACTAGCACAACGTAGTATCCAAGTGCGATTTTCGTTTATGTGAATTGCCTTGGAACGTATGAGTTTAGGCTGTAATGAAATACGAAAGTATGACGATAGTTTTGTTGGGTGAGCAATGATTTATTATTTCATAAACCGTTCAAAAATAGTGATGAAAGTGAAGAACAAAATTTTGTTTACATTACCCCACTTGACCCAAACACGTCTTGCAATAAGCACTAAAAATAAACTACATAAGTACATATAAAAAAAGGCATTTGTACTTTTGAATAGTGTTTTCTTTAATTCAATAAACTAACACATCAATTTATTATGCGTTATCACAAATTGAACTGTTTAGTTCAGTAAAGAAAATGGTATCTTTTAGAACAATGGAAATTATAAGCATTTAATAGGAGGTTTATGACTAATGATAATATAAAATATATAATAAAATGAGAATTTATTACAAAAAAAATAATAAATTGTAGTCACTTATGCCCTAGTTTACAGATTTTAATTCAACTTCAAACATTAATGTACTATTTCCAGGAATCGTAGGAGGTGATCCTTTTTGGCCATATCTAAAAATTATCATCAAAATTAATTGGCAAAATGATTAAATGCTAAAATAATATTAAAAAAAAAAAAAACTTACGCCATATGAGGTGGGCAAGTGATAAGCCTTTTACCACCGACTTTCATTCCAACTACACCAACATCCCAACCCTTGATTACATCTCCTTTGCCAACCCTAAATTTGAATCCAGAGCCTTGTGTGGTTGAGTCGAAAATTTTGTTGTTATTCTTAAACCGGCCAGTATAATAAACCGTAGCCTGAGTATTATTAAAAAGATCATTTTTATTATGAATATATTGACAATTTCAATACATTATACCTGTTTTCCTCGAGCACAAACAGGACCGTTTCCTACTTTGATATCTTTGATTTGAACGCCACCCTCTACAGTTTTCTTTTGGGGTGACGAATCCTCCGTTTTACTTTTGTTAAGTTTGTTAGCGCTGCTAGTCAGCGTTTCTCCTTTCTTGTCCTTTTTCCCTTGCTGCGCATTTGGCAGCACTCCCTGCAAAATCAGTGATTATTTATTAAGAAACTAAACATATAAGAAGATGAGAAAGGAAGAAAATTGAGTTTTAAATTAAAATTAAAATTATATTAATATTTACATTAGGTGTTTTTTGTTTCTTCTGTTGTTGTTGCTGCTGCTGCTGCTGTGGCTTAGGTGTCGACTGTTGGCTCTGTGGTTGTTGTGGCTGTTTCTTCTTTTTCTTTTTCTTATCTTTCTTTTGCTGAGAAGTGACATGAGGGACTTGCTCTCTTTCTTCATCACTACCCTCGACATCATCTTTATTACTATCTTCATCACTATCATCACCTTTAATAAATAATAATTAACGTACTATTTCAATACCATGTGCAAATATTTTTTGAATACTTACTGTCATCCCAATCTAATGACATTTCTTTGTTATCGTCAGACTCTTCTTCTTCCTCTTCATCATCGTCATCTTCATCTTCAAGGTTTAAATCATCGCCGTCAGATTCTTCAGAATCTGGGAAAAAAGTTACAATAAATGTTTGAAAGTTAAAAAAATAAAAAATAAAATAAATGAAATGAAATTAGTCAGTTTATTGTAGTTTAAATTTATTTAGAAACAAAATTTCTTCATTCAAAGCTCTATACAAACGAAGTAACATATTACCATCGCCACTGTAATCTTCTAATTTTGTTTGCTTTTTGTTTGCAGGTCCAACTTGCTTCAGTTTCCTTTTATCAGCAACACCATTCAGCTTTCCTTTTTTCTCGCCTTGAAGATATATTTTAATTTAATAAATAAGTTCAAATAAAATATACAGCATAGATTATTTTAATAAAAACCTTTATCACTAGACATAGAATTATCAATACTCTCCTCTTCATCTTCTTCTTCTTCATCATCTCCTTCCTCACTCTCGAAAGGACCAAACTCATCTTCAGGTACAATATAACCTACAATCGCATCGATGATTTAATTTCGTAATTTTATTTTTAAACCAAAAAAATAATTCTAATTTATATATTACCTGAGAGATGAACGACACCGTTTCCTTTACAAAAAAATGTAATTCTATCACCGGTGAGGAAGTTCAAGTCTAAAGCGCACTGCAGTGCTTTCTGCTTTTGTAAGTTACATAGAATAAATGGCACTGTAGACTCTCCCTCCTCGAGCATTACACTCAAAACGTCATCATCTAACGAATTATAAAACGAATGAATTATCAAACAGATTAAGATAGAAATCATTTAGCGTGATCTACCTGTTTTAAGAGTAGTACAATCTAAAGCTGCCATCGAGACATGGAAAGATTTGTCCACTGTTGTGGAATACCTTTTACCAGGATCAAGCCTGAGCCCTACAAAACAAATAAAACTTATTAAAAGCTAAAAAGATACATATATTGAAATTACATCTATGTTTATCGATCCACACCCCTTTTGCAAATTTAAAACAGCACAACAAAACACCGTTTTGATTTAATTAGTTAAACAAATTATCCAAAGGTGGTGTGTATTCATTATTTTCTTTTATCACAATCCTCTATACTTTGTGTGCTCCTTCATCTGAACACACTCAATAACAATAGACAAGAAAAGAAAAATTGTTCTTAAAATGCACTATATGCTCTCTAGATGTGATTAGACTTAAGCAGGGAACACACTTACCCGATGCAATGCTACGTGATGCTACCCTAAGCCACCTGATATGAATGTTCAATTTTCCATAAGATTGTATTACCCCCCATGCACATCTGCCTGATGCCATGCATCCCCACTGTCCAGATTTTCGTCGGGTAGCATGGAGTATAGTCAAGACAAAAGAACTGGACACTCATATTTTTAATTCAAACTACATGTATTGTCATTATATTAATTACAACATTCTTATTTTAATTTAAACTAAATTAAGCGAGATCAAGAATTCATTAGTTTTTATTTTAAAAAATTAATTATGGTTTGGTAGAAAATTGATCAAAACAACCAGAATATCATTTTTTGATATAATGAATTTACCTAACCATTTATTACACAGTTTTGCCCATAAAATTTAACTAACAATTTATTTCATGGTTTTGCTCATAAAATTTAATTAACAATTTCATTGTTTTTCTCATAAAATTACACCATTTTCATCGAATAGCGTCAGAACAGGACACCCATATTTTTTGTAGTTTATTTCGAACTATGTATATGTAATTTTGTCGTTATATTAATTACAACATTCTTATTTTAATGTAAACCAAATTAAACGATATCAAAAATTCATTAGTTTTTATTTTAAAAAATTAATTATGGTTTGGTAGAAAATTGATCAAAACAACCGGAATATCGTTTTTTGATATAATGAATTTAACGAACAATTTATTACATGGATTTGCTCATAAAATTCAACTAACAATTTATTTCATGGTTTTGCTCATAAAATTACACCATTTTCGTCGAGCAGCGTCAGTACAGGACACCCATATTTTTTGTAGTTTATTTAAAACTATGTATATGTAATTATGTTGTTATATTAATTACAACATTCTTATTGTAATGTAAGCCAAATTAAACGAGATCAAAAATTCATTAGTTTTTATTTTAAAAAATTAATTATGGTTTGGTAGAAAATTGATCAAAACACGGAATAACTTTATTTAAAACAATTAAATGTAACTAACAATTTATTACAAAGTTTTTCTCAAAATAATGCATTAAGAACAAGAGGCATTGCGATTGTGATACTGATTATTGTGATATACGCTGTGTGACTGTGCGTGGCACGTGCTTGACGTCGCAAAGATGTGCACACCCTATCAAAACGAGACAAGGGACCAAGTAGCATCGGGTAGCATTGGACCAAATATCGCAGATTGTTAGATCACTTTATTCGCCCAGGCCTTAAATTTTGAAAATGATTAATGTGATTTTACTTGTCATTTTTTATTTTTTTATTATTATTTATTTTAGTGTACAAAGACTTTTTTTGGCATACGTTTATAATTTCTTCAAGTGCTGCATAGTTAACATTATTGATAAAAAGTGGTAAGATGCAGAATTTAAGAAAAACAGTTGCTTTGATATGTGGTTGGTTTGTTTTTCATTATCCCCATAATTCGAACATGGTTAACTCATTGGCCTGTACAATACACTGAAGAGTGAAATTAACGAGAGAAAAAATTCACCAGAAGCATCTATTAACATGTTCACTGCAGATGATACCGTACCAAATCTTTCAAAAAAAATAAATAACCACCTGACAAACAAGTCAGTAAGCCCTGTGGTGAACATGTTAATTTCTTTTAATTTATTATTAAAAAAATTCTAAATAAAACATGTCAGGCAGGATTCAAATCCACTTCGATGCTCTAACACTTGAGGTGACTCATGTTATGGTACAATTTTAATTAATAATTGTCCTCCATTAGCAGAATTGTTTAAATTCAGCTAGAATCATAGCATTGGAAGATGGAAAAAGTCTACGTATGTGGCGAGGGTGCTTAACTCTCACAGAACAACTGTCCGAAAGGTCTTCCATCACCACCAAGATATTGGAAGTTACTGAAGAAGCCATGGATCAGGTCGCCTTTGTGTCACATCTCAGATTTATCATTTCGAATTTACTCTGTAATCGACATTCTACCACTGTTGAGACCAAAGCAAGGACTTCAAAAAGTAGAAAGGTTAAAGTCAGTTTACGCACTGTAAGACAAAGACGTACAGAAGCTGGATTACGAGTGAGAAGGCCTGTCACTAGTCCTGAACTTCTGACAAAGCTTCTCACTACTAAAACGCCTATTTCGCGAACATTTACAAGTTTACTATTGATCACATCTTATTAGAAATTTAATGTAGTTTTCAATGGTATCAACGGATTTGTCCAAAACCTTTTAGTTTTGGAGTTATCATTGTTTATTTGAAGCAAGGTCGTGAAATCTTTTAAAAAATCAGAAAAAGTGGAATAACTTCGAAACTGCTGAGGTTCGGATCATAGTTATTCAGGACTTTTTGGTTCCGTTTTGAATGTAGAATCTACTGGCGAAGTTTGTAACACGAGTAGCTGAAAATCCTGTATAATTATACGAGTGTAATATTGATATATGCTTAAAGCAAAGAAATTTAATTAAAAAATTTATTCAGTTATATATGTTTTACTCTTTTCTGGTTGTTGACTTTTTACAAACCTTGAATTTCTTGTCAGGAATTAGACAACCATCAAAATCAAAGAAAATGAGTTTGATGGTTGTCTAGTTCCTGAAAAGAAAACCAAGAAAAATTAATGTTATATTTTTCTTTAAAAATATTCAGTAAAAAAGAAAAATATAACGATTGCAAGTATTAAAAAAAAGATGGTGGGCCCTTTTTGCTTCTCGGTGAAATTTTAATTTAAGAATGATTTTCTTTTAATACAGCAATTTGAAATCAATGTGCATCCCCTAAAACCATGTGGTCAAAGATGATTTTGTGTTATGCTTATTATGGATAAATGTAGTTAACTTCCAGGATTTTTTTTATATAGAACTAAAATTGAAATGCAAGAAATTAAAAAACATCCCTCAGGGTGGGTGATCAGGTGGTTTTTAAACATTTTACAAAAACCAACAAGTATAAGACGAAATTAAAACAACAAAATTGACTTTAAATGAATAAATCTGTGTGAAAGGTGTCGATTTAAGGCGAAACAAATCTTAATAACTGTAACACGTTATAATTGATATCAGAGGACAATGCGTTGGTGAGACTTGGCCATGTGGTTTGTCTGTAGGTACAACGCAAGGCGGTTGTACCTACAGACGCTGCGTAAGAGACGGACGGACAATTTACAAAATAAATCAATTAGGAATTATTGAACGGTCGGTTTACCCCAAAACATCTTGGCGTTTAGTCTTCTTCAACGGGTCCCTTCTCGAGAATAAAGCTTTTTAACTGTTTACAGAGTAAATAAAAGACGGTATTACAGGTTAGACGGCACAGCAGTACGACAAAGACGAAAATCAAAGTGGGAGATGGAAGCCGTCTTCCTTCCGACTTCGGCTCGGAATTGTTCGATTACCCGCGCCGAGCTTATTCTTCCATCGATCCATCGACTTAGGCTATTCTTTAACGTACTCAACATAGAATAATTCTGTATACAAATTTTACATATAGGGTATACCATGAACTGAGATTATATTCAACTTTTATAAACAAGTACTTCATTATACTAGTTCATAGTAAACTACCTACATAAAAACCAATAAATATGTATATTGTATATTTATGGTTTATATGTGGTTATGTATAGTTTATATAATTTATTTTATGTATATTGTTTAGCATATACAGTAGTTTAAATCAGTACAAAATTTATTATTTATTATTATATTCATGGATTAAGGTCCTTTTACAGAGTACAGAACATGCAGTGGTATATTACTATAATTTATTTACATATTCAGGCTGAGAGCCAAATTTACTATAATATAAAACATATATGTAACTTTTATATTAATTATATATAAAATAATTAAAAAATGGTGTAAATATATAAAGTACGTATATTTGTTAAGATTGCTTCTTGATTCAACAAGACGAGCTCAACTCTGAATTCTGATTATTAGGAAACCGAGCCTCAGAAGTCCCAATGGGATGTGAATACAAACCGATCGGGTGCTTTTTTACAATACAAATTAATCCGAGTTTCGAAACAATTTATGATATATTTATATGTGGTTATGTATGGTTTATATAATTTATTTTAAGTATATTGTTTAGCATATACAGTAGTTTAAATCAGTACAATATTTATTATTAATACAAATTAATCACCCCACAAATTGACCTTTTACAGTGTGTATAGAACATGCAGTGGTATATTACTATAATTTATTTACATATTCAGACTGATAGCCAAATTTACTGCAATATAAGAAAAATAGCTAAACTATAAAATTATATATAAAATAATTTAAAAATGTAAACATATAAAGTATATATATGCAATGGTTGCTTCTCGATTCAACAAGACGAGCTCAACTCTGAATTCTAATTATTAGGAAACAGAGCCTCAGAAGTCTTGATCAGACCTGAATTCAAAACGATCAGGTGCCTTTTTATAATATAAACTTAATCAATGTTTCAAAACAATTTATGGTATATTTATATGTGGTTATATATGATTTATATATTTTATTTGATGTATATTGTTTAGCATATACAGTAGTTTAAATCAGTACAATATTTATTATTTATTATTATATTCATGTGTGGTGATTAGTGACCGTTAGTCGATGATTATTTGGAAATCGTGAGATGCGGTCTGGTGTGATGTAGGTTCCAGAAAAACATTTTCTTTGTCGTGCCAACGTTTCGATCTTTATTGAATTTTTCCACATCCAAAATGTAATTGTTAAATTTAAACAATGTTTGTAAATCCCAGGCCCTGAATATGATCTCAATAAAGATCGAAACGTTGGCATGATAAAGAAAATGTTTTTCTGAAACCTACATCACACCAGACCGCATCTCACGATTTCCGAATAATCATTATATTCATGGACGAATGTCATGCTTGGCTATTAAGAGATTGATCCAAAAGCATTCAAAAAGTCCAGCAATACTAAAACAGTCAATGTTTTATCAACATTGGAACAGAGGTCTTGAAAAGAACTGTACATTGTGAAAATTTAAAAATTCTATCACTTGCTTAGGCGATTTTTATGACTAAAATTTTGTATACTTCAAGGAGAATACTAATAGGACGAAAAAGATATGTTTTGCGTGCAATTTGGTTAAAAACAAAAAGAAAAATAAGAAATTTTATACAGATGATTACATGTATGAGCGTATGTGTTTTGTATTTCAGGCCAGTTCAGCTAGTCGTGAAACTTGGCAAATGTTTTATTATTACAGGTTGAATTTATCTTAGCCTATGAACAAGCAGAGCATTTCCATTCACATCATCTTAAAAAGAAGCTATTCAAGAGCAACATCATTCAAGTTCGATTGAGAAACTTGGCTGTGTTGTTAATGGAAAAAAGAAACATTCTTATTAAATGAAGAAATGCTTGAATTTATAGCAGAATATTTCTGTAGACAAGTTAACATTGAATAATAATTTTTTTATGGTTCCAGATCCAATTCTTAGAGAGAAATTTAGTTTACATTTTCGTCAGTTTTACTCTATGAACGTTGCAAAAACAATATTACATTTACTGAAAATGAAGTTCACTTATAATAATGAAAGATATATATTGAAATTAACTCGTAAAATTTTTAATTAACACATTGTTTCTGTTTTTTATATGATGAAGTTTAGACTTTTAAGTGAGAGTCATACTTCATAGAGACACGGACTCTTAAGTCTAATCATGTTCTCTGTGATCGTCATAAGGATGAGAACTGAGACGGTTATCACTGATCATTGTTATCATAAAATCACCCTTAGTCCCACATGGTAAAATTATCACGTTTTTGTCGTTTTCAAAGATGAAATAAAAATTTTACAATTAAATGGCTCAATTGTCTGCGTTGAACAGCAGGTTTGTCAAGTTTGGGATCCCCTTTGTAATTTTCATCGTCGGAGGATCTTTCGGATTGAAGGAATTCACTCAGATTCGGTATTCGCCTACCCGTTGTATTTTAATTACGATTTTTACTTAATTTTAAAAGTAATTTTTCTTTTTTATTCAGATATGCATATGGGAAAAATAAACTGCTTGACCCTGATACATTAAAAGAGTACGGTATTGACATGAAAAAGCCTGGAGAAGTTACTTTAGAATCGGAGTATGAGAAGATAAAAGGGGTGAGATAGTATTTTTTATTAAATTTTCTTGGATTTTTTTTTTTAATTTCATAAAACATTGCAGTTGGCGAATCAAGAATGGGAAAACATAAGAGGCCCGAGGCCATGGGAGCCAGACACATTGACGGAGAAGAAATAATATTATTTATCTGTATATTTCATTGTATACTGTAACATTTAAAAGAAATAAGAGTAGAAACAGATTCTGTAGTCAGAGAACTGCTAGAAAAGAAGTATGAAGATTTGTAAAATATTTGAAACTGAACGTTCCTCCATTGTTTTGCTAATTTGTCAAATATGTTACAATATTTATTAAACATATAAAGTTATATGTTTAGATGATTAATTATAATTATAATAATATATTTTTTACAAAATTAATTCTACTTACAAAAATGCTAAAATATAGAAATATACAATATATAAAAATATGAAAATATAAAAAGCAGAACTGAGAAAACAAAGGAAAAAAATTACTTGAATATTAAACAATATTTAAAGTAAGAAAATAACTTTAAAAAAATTTAAAAACTATTCTTAGTTGAACATAGACAATTTATGGATCACTAGAAGTATTAAATTTAGAAAAGGGTTCAAATTTATATTTAAAAATTCAATTCGTGCTGACTGATTTTAATTTATTAAAGTTTTGCAGTTATATGCACACTGGGATTTGTCTAGGTGAAATTTTGTTCTGCCTGTTTGCAATAATTCAGTAGATATGTGAAATGTGAGGTTTGCTGAGTGAAAAATCTTACAACCACAAAAAAAATTCTTTGATTATTCTGTTCTGCCAACTTGCCAATGCTAATATTTGCCATCATTCATACAGACAGATGGTAAAATTCATATATGTAACAGACAAGACGATCAAGCTACAAATTTGATTATAAATAAATTAATGAACAATACAACTCTCTTAGCATTGAATTTCCACCAGAACAATTGTATTTATATTTATGTGACATCAACTTAGAATTATTAATACATGTCTTGTCTTTCAAACTCCTTAATTGCAGTTGGTGTGTATAATATTGTAAGTGGGTACTCAAAGCTCTATGTGCTTATTTATTCTAGTTGAGTTCAAAGACCGAACTGACTCTAAATTTACATAAAAAGGCTACAGATTCCAGTCTAAATAAAAGAGATTGAACACTGCATCAGGGAAATAAAAAAGCTAAAGAATACATTCCTGGCAGATAGTCATCTTTTGTGAGTCGGACAGCACTCACTGTGATGGGAGTCAAGAAAGAGTCTAGCCTCATGCGAGATGAAGGTAAAGAATGTTTGAAACTGCATGGAGACCCTGGTAGAAGTCAGCGACAGCAATGACCTGACCCTGTCATGAGTCTGTGGGCATTTGAGGCATAGAAGCAATGAAAAGGTTGACATGGCCAAAAATGAAGCTCTAGATCTTTAACCCTACTTTGGCATGTTCCAACAAAAATTGATACATCTTAAAATGGGTCCTTAATGTGTCGAAAGTTTGGTGGAATAATACCCCAGACATGAGGCACAAAGAGATTCAGAGAAAGGCCATCTGCAAAACTGGAACACAACCGCAACCGAACCAGGATTCTGGTTGGACTCCTGACGAGGCACTGCCACCTAAGAAGGCAGATTCACTGGATAGGAGTACAGACAGAAGAAACATTCTGCAGATACTGCCAGGAAGAGATGAAGATCGCAGAACAAATTTTGTTTTTTGTGAAGGTCTTTGTGGGTGCAGATTCTTGCAATATGGAGAGGAAAAGCCGCAAGTAAGATCATACACTAAGGAGCCAAAGGCAAAGCTATGGAGGTTGACTAACAACCTGAAGCTGGCCAGTGAGTTATAAAAATAATTTATATTAATATAAGAGCACAATAGATCTACTCAGGTTGAGGTGCAGAAGACCTTGTGGCCACCTCTTTTATCCCTTTCCTTATCCCTAATAGAAAAATAATGTCATGTAATTAATAATAATTTATTTATAACTTAAACACCTCGAGTTGTCACTAGACAGAAACTCCACTGAACCACTGTATTTAATGTTATATTTGTAAATAAAAATTTCTGATTATTTGGAGATTGTGAGATGCGGTCTGGTGTGACGTAGGTTTAGGAAAACATTTTCTTTATTGTGCCAACGTTTCAATCTTTAGTGAGATCATCTTAAGGGCCTGGGATTTGTAAACATTGTTTAAATTTTACAAATACATGCAGGATGTGGAAAAAGTGAATTTATACAATGCTAGAAATTTTGGACTTAATCAAAGTGTTAGTTTTCTGTGTACAAATACTTTAATTGAGCCTAAAATTTCTAGCATTGTATAAATTCACTTTTCCCTATCCTGCATGCATTTGTAAAATTTAAACTATGTTTATAAATTTATACAAAAAAATGAATTTGTACAATGATATGAATTCATTTTTTCACATCCAATATGTATTTGTATAATTTGAACAATGTTCATGAATCCCAGGTGCTGAAGATGACTTCAATAAAGATCAAAATGTTGGCACGATAAAGAAAATGTTTTTTTTAAACCTACGCCACACGACCGCATCTCACAATCTCCAAATAATCATTAATTAACGGTCACTAAACACCACACATAAAAATTTCTATTTTTTTTTTCTGGTTTTGCAAAATCAAATCAAAATTAAATAGCAGTTATACATATTTATAGAAGCATTGAAAATTTATGTGTATAACGTTAAAATTTATTAATTAATAAACTTTTGAATGTTTTCAGTTGAAAATTTCTTGAAATGAGTGAACTAAACATTTAGATAAATTAATGAACATTTTTATGTAAGGTTTTGGTTGAAATGAAAGTCGAAATAATGATAGCTCAAGTGGTTAGAGCGGCACATTGAGCCGAACAGAGTTGGGCAAAATCTAACTAATTCAATCACGATTAAGAATTTCGATTGAAGTTTAATCATGATTGAATTAGTCATGAGTAAATTAATCATTATATGATTTAATCATAATTAATTCAATCATGAGGTATGACTAAATCATATAATGATTAATTTACTCATGACTAATTCAATCATGATTAAACTTCAATCAAAATTCTTTATCATGATTGAATTAGTTTGATTTTGCCCAACTCTGGCTACAATGACCAACTTACCAAAATCCAACCGACTCCGGATAAAAATTTTGTGATGGAGTCGTGCTCAAGGCCAACCTTCAAAAATTATCATAAACGAAAACCAAAGTTACATAACTATTCTACATGTCTATTTTATTACAATCAAGACCCCTAGATGGTGTATTTTCCAACTAATGTAGAAATCTCCCCTTTTAAGTGGAATAAATTTTAATTCAAAGAAATATTTTTTCCATTGATTGGTTATGCAAACATATTTACTTTTCAAAGCGTAGCTTGTTATAGGATTTTTTAATTTTATTTTATTATTATTATTATCATTATCATTATTTTTTGGCTTTTCATAACGACGGAGTTTTACTTATAATTGGAAGATTGATTTTTGTTAAATAAGATGTTGAAGGATTTTTGTTTTGATGAAATAAATTTCTGTTAGAAAATTTTTTCATTTTTTGAGCTCCCATTTGAACATTATTTATCGAAATTTAGTCATGACTATATTGTGACTAAATTAGTCATGCCTCATATTTAATTACTAGTCACGACTAATTTAGTCATCAATCACATATGGCGACTAATGACTAAATTAGTCACTTACTACCAATCATGACTAACGGTCTGAGTGATCAATCATTAATCATTAGACATGACTAATTTTTGCCCAACACTGGAGCCGAATGTCGTGAATCGAATCCCGCTCGTGATGCTAACTTTTTCATTTGAACCAAAACCTTACATAGACCACTAAATATAATGGATTTAGATAAATCTTGAACTTGATGTGGAAAACTGTACATTTTAATTTGGTGAACTTTATGTTGTAATGCTAATTGGTAAAAATTGCTTAATTTTTCTAATGTATAAAAGACGATCAACAAGAAGTAGTTATCCTGTTTGAATACATGCGTCACCATACTTTCATGATGTTTTAGAAAAGACATGACGTTCAGATCATTGGTCGGAGGGGGGGGGGTTTCGACATTGCAGTCCTTGAGTCGATCTACTCGATCATATGATTTTACATTTCAGATCACAGACAGCCTGTGGTCGGTTCCGGATCTTCTGTTAAATTTCCAGCTTTCAGCAGCGGCCCTGATCATCAGAATCACACCAGAAGTTCGAAAGTCGTCTAAAGTTCTCCAAAAGACAGGACGGTCGTAACATGGCGAGCCAGACCCAGGGAATCCAACAGCTTCTCGCTGCTGAAAAGAGGGCGGCGGAAAAAGTAGCTGATGCTAAAAAAAGTAAAAAAAAATCCATACATGTAAATTATAATTTTATTAACATTTTCATTCTTATGATGTAGTAGTTTAAACAGAAATTATTGTTTTAATACAAGAAAAACTAGCGAATATGTGGAATAACTAAAAAGTGGGCGTGGCACTTTTTTTACTCAAGTGACATTTTGCCCTTTAAAGTAACTTTATAGACTTTTTACATGAAATTTAATTTTTTAGTATGATGTTTCATTGTTATTTCCTTTTTAAATAAATCAAAAATATATAAATAAAACAAAAAATGGCCCCAAGGTCTTCAATTTTGACTGAAAGTGGTTTGAAAATTTAAGAACAAATTATATTATTTTACGTATTCCTCACTCCTTACAACTGTTATGAAGATGTCATAAAAAATGCAATTGCAAAGTAAAGTTAAAAAGTAAAAAGGTTGACTTAAAAAAAAAAGCTCCACCTTTCACCTTGACTTTATTCAATTTTTTTTTCTTCTCATTTTCACCTAATCATTCCTCCATTTTTTTTAAATGAATCTTTTAATCAATTGTCAAAAAAGTATTTTTTTAATCAAAGCTTTTTTCTTTTGCAGGGAAGGCCAAGAGGTTGAAACAGGCCAAAGAAGAAGCCCAAGAGGAAATTGAGAAATACATGTTAGACAGGGAGAAACAGTTCAAGGAGTTCGAAGCCAAAGTATTTAAATCACTGGCCCTAGCCAAATAGTGTCATTATCATGAAAAAAAACTTTCACTTTTCAGCATATGGGCTCTCGTGAAGATGTCGCCGCAAGAATTGACGCAGACACGAAGCAAAAAATTGAGGAAATGACCAGAGCTGTCAATGCGAATAAAGAGGCGGTGAGTGTTTAAAAATAATTGATTTATAAATGTTCAAATGTTATAAATTAATTAATCAGTTTAGCCTTTACTCTTTGCAACGTCTTATAAAGCCTCGATGGACTACAAAGTAGAAAAGAATTCACGAGGAGATGATATACAATGATATGATATACAAATGGATCCAAAAAAAATTAATCAAAACAGATCAGGAGATTTTGTACAAGCCCAAAATATTAGCGAACTCATTAGGGAATTACACGTTGGTCTTTCAAGAAGAAATACATGCTATCAACACTCATGCTTAAAAATTTTTTTTAAAAGAGATTCCACTGGCAAAAAACCCTCTTAAGATCAGATAGCCAAGTGGCTGTTAAAACATTAACATTGTAAAAAACATCATAGTCAGTGAATGAACCCAAAACCTCAAAAATCTGGGGAAACAACAACCTGTTATTTTGGGTCACAAGGATACAAGGGAATTTTGGGGAATGAAAAGCAGACACTGGTTAGAGTAGGATCTCCAAGATCGTATATAGCCCCTGAACTATTGGGGTAACAAAAACAAACAAATTATCCATCATAGAATGAATTAAAAACAAATCAAGGTTGATAAATTCTAGAGATGCTAGACACAGAAAGCTTATGCTAAAACAATACTGGCAAACTCACTGCTACAGTTAGAGAGGGCTAAAATATGAGAGTGGTAGGACTATTTACCGGTCACTGTCATCTGAGAAAACATCTACACATGAGTGTATTCAATGATGACCCTCATTTGAAGGTTAAGTAATGAGAAGAAAGAAACAGCCAACCAATTCATCTCTGAATGCGAAGCCTCTCAATGGAGACAACCTGGGATACAAAGAAAACCCAGGGGCACGAGTTGTAGTAATGAAGACTTTGACCTAGTACTTCTTACGAGATGGATCAAGTCGACTGACTGAACTAAGGAACTAAGAAAGTACAATAAGCCAGAAGACTGCAGTGCTTGGGGAACATAGAACCCCACTTCCTAGTACCATCTACCTAAATTCTCTAATAACGAATTATCTATTGTAAACAATTCTTGAGACTTTATGTAAAAAAATAAAACAATTATTTTTGTCTTGTTACAGGTGATTCAAAGAATTTTGGAACTTGTCTATGACATCAAGCCCGAAATGCACAAGAACTACCGCCCAACTTGAAACTGTACATATTTGAGATTTTCATTTGAATAACAAGCTTTCATTTTTCAAATTGAAAAACTGTGGTTTGGGTCTTCACAATCGATGTTGTTAAGAAATATCTTTGTTTACGATTAGATAGCTAGATCTAATCTTAGAAGTTCTATATTATTAGTCTATTGTAAAAATGAATACATTCCAAATTAAAAATAATTAGAGTTTAGATTTTAAATATAAACAGATATTTTTTTGTTGATATTGTTTAAGCAGTTATATCAGTATTCATGATTAATCTCGGGGGTTGAACTGGCATTCCAAGATGCATCGGCAATTAATAAAAAAAACTGTATCATATTGTAAAAATTATCATTGTCAGTCAGAATATTATTGAAATTGTTATCTATAAAATCTAAGCTGTAATATTTTATATGCTGTTTTATTTTACTATCCATACATTTCACTTAAAGAAACCAATTTAATTTAAGCTTAGGGAACTGTGGTAGCTGAGCGGTGAAGGATGATCTCCGACGGTAATGTTGGATAATTTCCACCGTCACACCTGCCCCTTTTTTTCACGATACCCTTCCCTCCAATTACATTGAAACAATCAACTACATACTCTGACCATTTTAGAAAAAAATTAACCTTAAGGCCTCTTTCAGATGAGGCGGTTTGGTTGATTAAACTACGTTGCCAGGTTGACTCTCGACTAGTTGCCTTGTGAAGGTTTTTATTTGCTGGTTTCACACCATGCAACTTGTGGAATCAACTTCTCAATGTGAGGTCAGTGCGATGTTAGAAACCAAGTAAGTAGCAGCAATTCATTGTGAAAAGGAAGTAAAAAAGGTGGAAGAAGTGTGGGTTCATCCATTGTTACAAAACTGGGAAACAGGCGCTTTCTTACAACTACTTCCCTCCAAGCTTTTTGTCGCTCTACTCAAACAAAGCCATGTCATGAAACTAGCAAATTTCTTCAACAAACTTCCATATTAAAACATGCAATTGCTGCGCTTTCTATGGTGAACTTGACAACTAGGTGACTGGTGTGAAGGAAGAATGTTGAGTTGTGTCTGCTGTTCAAGATTGAGTAAACCAGAGGGGATGCAAACGTGAGTGGTACTGGTCAATGCACCTGGGTGGTCAAATTAACTGCATACGGGGTTCAGGTGGTTTTCAGTCTTTTGCCACAGGGCTACATTCCTTGACACCTATCCGTTCAACTAGTTGAATCAACTAACTTCCTTGTTTGAAAAAGAATAACCGATATACGGTCAACAATACCTAATATTTAATAAGAGATTTTTTAGATTAAAATAAGTGTTTTAATGTCAGTAAATAAACTTTTATGAGTGAAAGAGCCTTTTGTACCATTATGCTGATATTTCAAGTTAACCAAAAATGCTACGGAGGTGGGATCACGATTTTAATGGAATTTATTTTGGTGATATTATGTCAAAAAATATTAAGACATGAATGAGCATTTTAATGAACTCTAGGAACCACAGAAAAATCATTGGGTCACAAATTATATATTGCAAATAGATACAATTTTGATGTAGTAACCAAGTGATGTAGCGAAGTAGGTTTAATTATTTTTAGCCAGAAACAAAGTTGATATCCTTTTTTAACAAAGTTGATATTCACTTTTTGCATCCTAAAAAGCCCTGAAGAATTGGTTAAATCAAAACATAATTTTTTTTAAATCAAAATTTTTGCTTTAGTAATTTTTTAAATCCCAACAATTGTGATAAATTTAAAACAATTGCACTGATCCACTGGAAAATTTACCGGGGTTTATGGTATAGACTTGGCTTTTGTAAGTAGATAAGGGTCGGATAAATAAAAGGCTTGAGAAATTTTGGTTTATTTTTAACCTTATTTTTCCCCATTATAATGACAAAAAATTTAGATATTGTAGACAAAATCCATAGGTGTTACAAATTTTGAAGTGAAACATTTGACATCAGGGAGAAAAAAATTGCTCCTGATGAATCCAACCAAAAAACTTTATATTCTTATTATGTTGAAAATTCATATTTAAGGTTAATTAATTATTATGACATACAATTTATAAATGTTTAAGCGTTTAGTTCTGTTCAACTTAATCCATCCTAAAATTAATCCAAATTGCTGTTTTTTTGTTTAAAAATGTTATTTGATCTACTTCACTGAAAGTATCTTGATTTTTGTAACTTTTTATATATTTATGCTCATTTAATATATTCCTACAAAGGTATTATTTTCTTCCTAAATTAAAATAAAACTAACTGTAATATAATAATGTAATGCACGGAAAACAAAAATGAAATAACATTCTAAAACTTTAATAAAAAAATTTTCTCAGCTCCTAAGGATCATCAAAAATGCTTGGTTTTTTTAAGCTACTTTTATGCATAAGCATCTATTAGTAAATTTGTTTGTATCTTAAAGAAGGTGATGGCTGGTCAAAATCTCCCTCTGTTTCATCACAAGCACAAACAGTCACTACGTAAATAAACTGGTAATGTCTTAAATCCAATGTAAGTAACAAATGATTATTTGGAGATCGTGAGATGCGGTCTGCCACGATCTCCAAACAATCATTAATTAACAGTCACTAAACACCACACTTTCTACACGTAAGTAACAAAGTTTATTTCTGAATGCTAAGGAGGAAAGCATAAATAATTAATACAAATTAAATAATCATAAAACAGGCAAGTTGATACTTACATCAGTCTTTTGCAAGGAGTGTTTTTAAATTTTCATATTGAAAAGAAAGGAGGGAAAAAAGGTGGGGTTGAGATGGGAAGTTGGTGTCCGAGTGGATCGAAGTCACGGTAGCTCAAGTGGTAGAGCAGTGGCGTATCTAGCCGAAGATCGTGGGTTCGAATCCCGCTCATCCCATTGATTTTTTATCTCAACTAAAAACCTTAATTAATTGTAATTGAAAAGAATTTTACATATCAGTATGGGATTTTTTGGAGTATAGGCTATAGAGAGCCAAAAGTTTGGTCATTTATGCTCTTCAAGTTTTTTGTCAGATGACTGTAGTTCCATAGCTTTAGTGATGGGTTGGTGTCTGTACTCACTGAAGATGGCAAAACGTATCTCTTTCTTGGACGTTCGAGGAAAAAAATTTTTTTTTTACGTGGGTTTGCAACAGCAGAGTTCATATCAGCCCTCAGGCTGTCCATGTTTTTTTTTTACCAAATCCCCATTCGTAGGGCTGCTGGAGTCCAACCCGGGATCCTCAGTGATGAGTGCCGTGCCAACGCCTTAATAGTTGTGGCTCGATGCCCGTTAAATTAATATTTAACCACTAAGATAAAAAAAACTGAGCTAAATCCAATGTAAAAATTTAAAAAATAATAATTGATAAGAGTTCAGCATAAACTTAAAGACGGACTTTTTGTTGCAATAAAAAAATTGCAACATTAATTAGAAAAGAGCTGTGAGAGGAAATCTCACATGGAACCAACGGCGTGACCACTAGGTTGTCCATGAGTTAAGAAGACATAATTAAGTGTTAGGTGTAAAATTATAATAAACTTAAATCAATAAAAACTAATTTTTAGTGCATTCAGTTTATTTTTTTATGCCAATCCGTGATACTGCACACACAAAAATAATATTGATTAACATATCTTTTATATTTTTCAAATTTATTTATTAAATGTTCAAAACCTATTATTAGGTTTACCTATTATATATAGGTACCTATTATTATTAGTTTATTAATGCATCTGTGATACAGCGGTCTAGTATAAAATACACATTTTGTCACAATTGAAACAATTTTCAATTAAAACCCAGACTTTGACTTCCAAGGTGCATGTATGAACACACTTGGCAAATATAAACTAAATGCATGCTAGTTTTGATTTTGCCAGAAAACCTTTTCTATTTAATTAGCTGTTTTTTCCTCTGTTACTGAAAAACAAGTAGAATTTACTTTAATTTTCTCAATTAACAAGTTCACTGCAGATGACGTTACAGCGGCATCGGGAGTGAGTTGTTTCACCATTTGGATGACGCTCTCAGTTCTTTAAATCCTTCAAAAAATATTCACTTGAAAAACAAGTCAAATGAAATCCCGCGTTGAACATATTAAACCCAATCAAATCATTGCAAATAAATTTGACATTTATCAAATAATCGCTTATTAACTGAAAACAATAGTATACATTTTTTTTAAAAGTAAAATTTATTTTAAACTATAAACCCTACAATTATACATATAAATAATACAATTTACAAAACAAATATACACGCAATCATAATTTAAATTTGGTCACTATCGTGCTTTAAATTTTGAAATGTACTTTTTACAAATTAAAATATGTCTAAATCAATGCACAATTTAAAAAAATTTAAAATAAATAATAAAACAAATTGGCTCAATAATTTATTTACAAAATCAATTTATATACAAACAAATAAATAAATACCAGTATATATTATGTACAATTTTATGAATTACATAAAACGGGCAAAATGTTCTATAGGAGCTTTTTGTTGTGATTTATTTCTCTAGGTAAATATTATTTTTACATTAAAAATTCAACAGACAACCACATTAAAATAAATTCCATTTGTTGTTATCAAGCTTTGGTAACTTAACTTTAATTTTATGTACATGCTGTTTCAATCTTAAGAATTTAAAACTAATTATTATTATAGTTTATAATATAATATTAAAAATATTAACTTTTTTAATAACTGCGGTTAAAAGGCATCTGCTCGATACATATAATAAAATATATACTTGCTTTTATTAGAGATCTTCATTGATTCTACAAGGTTTATCATCCGGATCAGTGTTTTCACACTCTTGACTAATTTCTTCGTTTTCTTCATCATTATCGAAACCCCAGTCTTTTACAAGTGTGTTGGCTTTCACTATTTCATTTTCTTTAGAATTTTCTGGATTTTGTGCCACGTCTTCCAATACAGGATGGGGATTTTCAACTGGTATTTGGCTGGGAAGGTCGTTTTTCTCATTTTCTATTTGTACGTTACTGACCTCAGGTAATTCATCCATTATCATCGGCGAGCCTTTGTTTTCAACCGTATTTTCTACATTTAAATCACCATCAATTATATCATTTTCTAGTTCATTATCAAAAATAACAGGAGTTTCCAGGCTGATTCTTTGACTGATATTCTGACAACTTTCCGCCTTTTCTTCTAACGTGTCTTCCTTGTTGCCAACGTTGTTAGACGATTCCGGTTCAGGATTTTGCATCTCTTCATTACTCTGTGTGGATTCAATAGAACACGGAATCACCGTTTCAGTTTCAGGGCCTACTGAATAAGGAGTGGAATACATCTGCGCCATATTGTTATCTAACATTTCTGGCACAATGTAATCTCCACTTTCATTTGCGACTACGACAGAATTATGGCCTTCTATAAAGAAATCAGAGTTGCCATCTAATAAAATGACGGCCTGTTGGGGGTCTTGAGGAAGAGCTACAGTAAGTCCTATCGATGTTGCGATTCCTGATGCGACATTATTAAGCGCTTCAGATTCAGATGAAGGAAATAAAGCTACATTTGGTTGATCTGTTAAAATTAATCCTGAAGGTAATTCCACCAATGAATGATCTTGATCGTTTACTTTGACAGTTTCAATGATGGGCACATCAATAACATCCATACTCCTATCCTCCGCTTCGACTTCATCAAATATATTACTACCTTGGTTATTGCTTTTTTCTGTGCATATTTTAATGTGAATGTTGAGATTGTTATTTGTCTTGAACTTCTTTTTACAATGAGGACATGAATTGTCCCTTATGTCGTTTTCAGCTTTGCAAGTGACGCTATGTGCTTGTAAGCTGCTAGCAGTTTTGAACATTAGGTTGCAAACAGGGCATGTCAAATCTTTGGCGGCTTGGTGTGAATTTAAATGTTTGATTAAAAGGCCCTCATTCAAGGCAATGTAGCAACATTGATCACATTTAGGAAATTTGATGTTCTTCGGTGGAGGGACTCCGTGTTTCGAATACAAGTGAAATAAGTGCAAATTACGTTTTGATGCTTTATATCCACAATATTCGCAAACACGCGCATCGACTCTTTCATTATGAATATTCTCTAAATGTTTTCTGTATTCAAAATACGAGTCGAACTTGCTATTTTCTTCTGTACTACAGAATGAACATGTCCAAGAGCCTCCAGAGTTCACAACGGGTTTAGAATTGTTCGATTCTTCAATTTTACATTCTATAACTTTGGTCACTGAAGAAGTTTCTTTAGGCTTCACTGATGACTTTATAACAACATATGAGGATTTCCCATGCGAGGCCTTTTTGGTCGTCATAGAAATTGTATTTGTCTTCTGCGCAAAACCTGGAGCTGTAATTTTCAATTTTATATTTTTATTGTTTTTAACCAACTCTGGATATTTTTTCAATACTTCGGCAATTATTTTTGCATGATTTGAAACAGGTTCTATCTTTTCTACCTTTTCAACAACAAGCGGCTGTACAGACGCAGCCGGTTTTTGAGCTACAGTTTCAACTGGCTTCTCAGGCTCTAACTCATTTTCTTTATCTTTTTCTTCGGGAACAAATGAAAACCTCACCTTTTTATTAGGTGTCGGTGTTGGAGCTTCTGATGGGGGCTTCAGTATCGGTTTCAACTGATTCGTCATCGGTTCCTGAGGAAGGTCATCATCACTATCTCCGTATGTATGAAGAGTTTCAAAATGGCCATCATCATCGTCGTCATCGCTAACTTCTGGAGGTCTTTCCTCTTCTTTATTTTCATTTGACTCTTTATTCTCATCCGACTTGTTAGGTTTAAAAAATTTATTTGGAAGTGTCGCAGGAGTGGACGTTATTATCCGCCGTTTATAAAGTTGCTGTTGGGGTGGAGAAGATGAAGTTGTATGTACAGGGGAGGGAATTACAGGACTCGTTTCATATGAAAGAGATGCAAATGAAGGAGATTGAATCATCATATTGTTAGTAGCTTCATCAACTGGCCAATTGAATCTTGTCGGCTTAGGATCATCATCTTCTTCTAGTCTAAAACAACAGGCATAAATTAAAAAAAAAAAATGTTATTGATCATATATTTGAAAATTACTGTTTTCTCTTGAACTGTCTAAGAAGTGGCAAAGTCGTCCTTGGCCTCCAAATTGGTAATCTTTAAAAATTACAATTTATTATTGTATTAACTATAAATAGCAAAAACCTAAAAGAAAAATTACTTCTTTCCCTCAAGGGCTTTTCCGGTTGGAGAGCTTTTATTAATTTTTGAAGTTGAAGGTATTTTCAATGGAACCCTCTTTATTACATCTGTCTTTGTCACGCCAACTGTTGTCGAGTTGACACCATTATCATTCTTCTGCAAAAATATTTATGCTTTATCATTTTACATTTTTTATATCAACTTTATTACCTGTGTAACAAGTAGTTGGCAAAGAATAGTTATGTTCAAAATTTTCGCAACAGAAAGCAACTGGTTGAATAATTCCGGCTTAAACTCTAGCCTTCCAGAGTATAAAAAACTGTAATAATATCAAAATGTATTAAACAGTTATTTTATTAATTAAACGCAATTTTAACATACTTGATTATTGGATGAACCGCGCTGTAAGGAAGAGTGTCAGGTAATTCAATAAGGTTCCCTTCACTTTCAAGTGTTTCAAAATAAGTCGTACTTGTGTTTAAAATCAAACGATGCACCTTGAAGAATAATAAACGTTTAAAAATAATTCTGATCAAATGTATTAGTTTTATTAATTCACCTTTAATTCCTCTCCAGATTGGAACTTCAATGTAAGGTCACAGTGGTCACCTTTTGCAAACAGAAGCTGTACACGCTGGAGGAAAAATACGGCCCAATTGTCCACTCTTAGCTGTTTTATATTAGGCTTTGTATCCGCTGCCATTTCAAACTTTTTAACTTCTTCTCTGGAAAGTTTAATGCTATATAAATGTAATTTAGAAATATTTATCACTTTGGCAATTTGATGTACATTCTAGATTAACTTAAAACCTTAGGCTTATAAAAGTAATAAAAATGAATTTGTGGTTATTGAAGCTATGAAAATGTATGATTTTGGACAATTGAATTTAAATTGATTTGCCCCAAACAACTAAACGTTGTCATATTTTTAGTATATCTTAATGTAAGCACATATTCGGTTTTGTGCTATAATAATTGTGCCATCTTTTCTGCTCAAATAATTTGTTAAAATTAAATCTAGTATGTTTGCATACTTTTCAGTAGTGACTATTCTTAAGCTCTAAATTGGCATCACAAAAAAATAAATAATACATAGTAATTGTTTATTTAATGCTTATTTCGCCCCACATTTCAGTGCATCTTTTAAATCTATTTTATTTTGATTTATCACATGTACAAAATTGGGCCTATCTCATCTCAAACACTCTGGATCAATGTATGGCCTATCACTTCTTCCTGTCCACCAGCAATTCCAGCTTTTGTAATTTACAATAAATTACCAACAGGCTTCGAGAATCATATATTGGCAGTCCTAAAACTAATTTTTATAATAAATAATTAAAAATGGGACTGCGCTGGTAGAGTCGCTGGTATTAAAGCATCCAATTCTCCTCAACAATGCAGGCAGTTTTGCGTTTACATTCCAGAATTGCTCTTAGAATTTAATGTGAAAAATCATTTGTAATAGTCTAATCCCTTGTCAACAACACCCAAAGGTAGTTTGATATTTACCCTTTTTCTAGTTTATGATTTTTCCTTCTTGAAGGTGGGATAAGTCATCTCAAACAAATCCACACCAGGTTTTATCCACAACGTTTCGTATTTATTTTAATCCTTCCTCAGATGAGTTAATGCAATGGTTAAACAGTGGTCGTCAGTCATTAATATTTTATAACAGTTTATTTTAAAAAAGAGCCAGTGTGGTACATATTTAAGTCTTTCAGACTCCGAACAAACGTTTTAATATTTTGAACCTGACTAGAGTCTAGTTTAACTATTACAATATGATTTTTCACATTAAATTCTAAGAGCAATTCTGGGAATTCTGGACCCAGAACTGCCTGCATTGTTGAGGAGAATTGGATGCTTTAATGACTCTACCAGCGCAGTCCCATTTTTAATTATTTATTATAAAAATTAGTTTTAGGACTGCCAATATATGATTCTCAAAGCCTGTTGGTAATTTATTGTAAATTACAAAAGCTGGAATTGCTGGTGGACAGAAAGAAGTACCAATAACCATACATTGATCCAGTGTTTGAGATGTGAAAGGCCCAACTTTGTACATGTGACAAATCAAAATAAAATAAATAGATTTAAAAAATGCACTGAAATGTGGGGTGAAATAAGTATTAAATAAACAATTACTATGTATTATTTATTTATTTTTTTAGAACAGAAGAATAGTCACTACTGAAAATTAAGCAAACATACTAGATTTAATTTTAACAAATTATTTGAGCAGAAAAAATGGCACAATTATTATAGCACAAAACCGAATATGTGCTTACATTAAGATATACTAAAAATATGACAAAGTTAGTTAAGTAGTTGTTTGGGACAAATCATTGTTTGGGACCTATTATCCCACCTTCAAGAAGGAAAAATCATAAGTTAAACTGTTGAGGTTGAAATATAAGAAAACACCCTTTTTCTAGGTCAGGAATTGGTTGAAATTAAATAATGAAGAGTTCACAATGTAAATAATTACTGGAAATATTAAACTTTAAAAAATAATTAACATAGAACCACAATCTATGGTTAGGGCAGACGCCTATAGCGTATATTTGCGAATGACCGTAATAAATGCAGAATGTGACATTAGAAATGATATACGACCGAGTATCAATGCTACAAATAGGCATTTCTCACATAAATGAGAAGGAATCTAAGATATTTCCACAATAAACCAAAAGGAAAGAGCAGGACTGTGTAATAAAACTAAGAGAAACTTTGGACATAGTATGTATCAGACAATTTGTAGTTTACATTGGAAAGAAAAACTTTCCGCCCACTTGTAAACAATGTTCTTTTTTAATATTTATTTACTTTTAAATTTACAAATCTTTCTACTTTCCATGATTTGAATATATTTTGTCTGGTGAAAAAATACTGAGAAAAATTATATTCTGTACGTACTTTATTTTGCGAGGTGTTAAACCTTGCTGGAATTCAGCAAAATCAGTAAAGCATTGATATATCTTTATTATTATTATTTTAAATTAATTAATTAATTTTTTTTAACGAGGATTCGGAACAGCAGAAGTTATATCAACCCTCGGGGTGCCGGTGTTTTTGAAAAAAAAAGCCCATTTATAAGTATGTCCGGGTTCGAATGCAGGGCCAGGACCTGTATCTTACAGTGATGAGCGCCATGTCAACGTCTAAACCGTTGCGGCCACCGGCGTCCCCATTGATATATCTAAACCTTTTATTTTGCCTGCAATTTATGTAATAAATAATCAAAACTCCTGATTTTCTTGTGAAATTTAAGAACTTGCCTTTTGTAAAGTGATTACGCACTTAATAGAAAAAATATAAGAGCAAACATTTTTTTTTTTTTTTTGAGGGGGGAGAGGGCAATAATATAAAATACACAATTGCAGCTGTCTCATTAACATCCATATTGAAAATGGATTGTATAAAAGAGTTTCTATTTTTTTTTTTTTTTTTTTTTTTAATGTAAAACTAAAAATATTTTTTATAGAAAATTTTCACGGCACCCTTGTAGCACAGCTGGGGTGCACAGTTTGGGAATCACTGGTCTGGTTGAAGGTCCAAAAAAGGCATTAGATATCAAATAAAATTAAAGCAAAAAACCAAGTGAATGGATAATTTTTTGGCATACTGTATTGTATATTGTTTTCATGGCTGTTTAACAGTTTAAGCCAATAAATTAAAAATCTGATATCTGTGCTGATTAATTTACAATATAATTTATGATTTTAAAAAGCTAACCAAAGGGCAAAATAGAACATTTTTCTTGCATTGTATGTAACTTAAGAATTAAGTTAATCAAAAATTTATTATTAAACTATTGTTAAATTAAAAACAGTACTACCGGAATTTGTTTGCAAACAAATGTTCTGACAATGATATAAATACTGATTATGTACTATTTGTCTAGTTGTTTTTAAATTCTCTTGTGAAATACAGTTGTGTGCAGTTAAGTTATGAACAAGCATGTCGTGTGATGTTTCTCTGGAGAAAAAATTACTGGGAAAAATTGTATTCTGCATATATCTCATTTGGTTTTTACTATTTACTAGTTAGTTTAAAAACAAATTATTTTATGAAACAAAAACCGATTGACAGTTATATAGTTAAATTATGACTAAGCATGTCATGTGATGTTTCCCAAGTGAAAAAATGACAGGAAAAATTACATTTGCATATATGTGATATTAAAAAGTTTATGAAAGGGCAAAGTAGAACATTTTTCTTGCAATTTATTTAAGTTCATTAAAAACAGTGTTGAGGTTGTTAAAAAGACATATTTTTATAGTACAACCCTCCACATTTTAATTCTTATGATAGAGTAATAAATGGTATAGGAGAATTTTAAATATATTTTATAATTTAATAGCACAACTTTCTCACGGAAAGAAAAGGTTAATATCATTAAACTAAAGTACTTTTATGTTCATCAAAATCATTTTGAGGTTGTACAAGATTTATATTTTTACAGCACATCCATATTCTTACTAGTATGGCTGAGTAATAAATGGTATAGGGGCATTTTAAATATAATTTAATGGCAAAACTCCCTCACTGAAAAAAACGTTTAAGTCATTAAATTAAAATCAGTACTGCTGAAATTTGTTTGCAAACAAATGTTCTGACAAGGGATATAAATACTGATTATGTTCTCGTTATTTAGTTGTTTTTACATTCTCTTGTGAAATGCAGTTGTGTTCAGATACGTTACGAACAAGCACGTCGTATCATGTTTCTCTGGTGAAAAAATTACTGGGAAAAATTACGTTCTGTGTATATATCTCATTTGGTTTTTACTATTTAGTTTTTGAAAAATTATTTTATGAAGTAAAAACCGATTGGCAGCTATACAGTTATGTTATGACTAAGCATGTCATGTGAAATGTCAGGTGAAAAAATTACATTCTGCATATATGTGATATTAAAAAGTTTATGAAAGGGCAAAATAGAACATTTTATCGCAATTTATTTAAGTTAAGAACTTTATGTTCATCAAAAACACTTTGAGGTTGTACAAGATTTACATTTTTATAGTACAACACTCCACATTCTTACTAGTATGGCAGAGCAATAAATGATACAGGGGAATCTTAAATATGACATTTTATATTTTAACGGTACAATTCTTTCACTGAAAGAAAATGTTTATATCATTAAATTAAAATCAGTACTGCTGAAATTTGTATTTGTTTGCAAACAAATGTTCTGGCAATGGATATAAATACTGATTATGTACTATTTATTTAGTTGTTTTTAAATTCTCTTGTGAAATACAGGTGAGTACAGTTAAGTTGTATACAAGCACGTCGTGTCATGTTTGTGTGGCAAAAAAATTATGTTCTGTATATCTTATTTGGTTTTTACTCTTTACTATTTAGTTTTTTAAAAATTATTTTATGAAATAAAAACCGATTGCCAGTTATATAGTTAAGTTATGACTAAACAAGCCATGTAATAAATGACAGGGAAAAAGCTTATGAAAGAGCAAAGTAGAACATTTTATCGCAATTTATTTAAGTTAAGAACTTTATGTTCTCAAAAACATTTTGAATTGTACAAGATTTATATTTTTATAGTACAACACTCCACATTTTTACTAGTATGGCAGAGCAATCAATGGTACAGGGGAATCTTAAATATGATATTTTATATTTTAACGGCACAATTCTTTCACTGAAAGAAAATGTTTATATCATTAAATTAGCAACAGTACTGCTGGAATTTGTTAGCACACAAATGTTCTGACAAAGGATATAAATACTGGTTATGTACTATTTATTTAGTTGTTTTTAAATTCTCTTGTGAAATACGGTTGTGTACAGTTAAGTTATGAACTAGCACGTTGTGTGATGTTTGTGTGGGGAAAAATTACGTTCTGCAAATGTCTCATTTGATTTTTCCTGTTTACTAGTTAGTTCAAAAAACACTATTTTATGAAATAAAAATCGATAGACAGTATATAGTTAAGTTATGACAAAGCATGTCATGTGATGTTTGTCATGTAAAAAAATGACAGGGAAAAATTACATTCTGCATATATACTATATTAAAAAGCATATGAAAGGGCAAAATAGAACATTTTTTCTTGCAAATTATTTAAGTTAAGAACAAGTTCATCAAAAACGGCTTGAAGATTGTAAGATGTATATTTTTATAGTACAACACTCCACACTCTTACTAGTATGGTAGTGTAATAAATGGTATAGGGAAATTTTAAATATATTTTATATTTTAACGGCACAATTCTCTCTCTGAAAGAAAATGTTTATCATTAAATTAAAATCAGTACTGCTGGAATTTGTTTGCACACAAATGTTCTGACAAAGGAATAAATACTGGTTATGTACTATTTATTTAGTTGTTTTTAAATCTCTTGTCAAATACGGTGTGTTGCTTATGAACAAGCACGTCGTGTGATGTTTGTATGGAGAAAAAATTACTGGGAAAAATTACATTCTTCAAATATCTCATTTGGTTTTTACTATTTACTAGTTAGTTCAAAAAACATTATTTTATGAATTAAAAACCGATAGACAGTATATAGTTAAGTTATGACAAAGCATGTCATGTAAAAAAATGACAGGGAAAAATTACATTCTGCATATTTACTATATTAAAAAGTTTATGAAAGGGCAAAATAGAACATTTTTTCTTGCAAATTATTTAAGTTGAGAACTTTAAGTTCATCAAAAACGGCTTTAAGGTTCTAAGATTTATATTTTTATAGTACAACACTCCACATTCTTACAAGTATGGTCGTGTAATAAATGGTATAGGGACATTTTAAATATGATATTTTATAATTTAATGGCACAACTCTCACTGAAAGAAAAGGTTTATATCATTAAATTAAAATCAGTACTGCTAGAATCGGTTTGCACACAAATGTTCTGACAAGGGATATAAATTCTAATTATGTACTGTTTATTCAATTGGTTTTAAATTCTCTTATGAAATGCATTGTGTACAGTTATGAAAAGGCATGATGTCTGATGTTTGTCTAGCAAAAAAATGACAGGGAAAAGTTGCATTCTGCATAATATGGCATTAAAAAGCCTGTGAAAGTTCAAAATAGAACATTTTCTCGCAATTTATTGAAGTAAGAACTTTACGTTCATCAAAAACGACTTGAGGTTGTATAAGATTTATATTTTCATAGCAAGTCCACACTAGTATGGCTGAGTAATAAATGGTATAGGTGAATTTTAAATGTGATAATTTAATGGCACAACTCTCTCACTGAAAGAAAAGATTTAAGTCATTAAATTAAAATCAGTACTGCTGGAATTTGTTCGCAAACAAATGTTCTGACAAGGGATATAAATACTGATTATGTACTATTTATCTAGTTGTTTTTAAATTCTCTGGTGAAATACAGTTGTGCCCAGCTAAGTTATGAACAAGCACGTCGTGTGATGTTTCTCTGGAGAAAAAATTACTGGGAAAAATTGTATTATGCGTATATCTCATTTGGTTTTTACTATTTACAAGTTAGTTAAAAAAATATTTTGTGAAATAAAAACCGATTGTCATTTGTATAATTAATGTGATTGTTGAAAAAATTACTGGGTATAAACAAATTATGGTATCGGTTTGGTGAAACACAGGAGGAGGTTAAAAAGCCAAATTGGTCGGAATCTTTTAAAACCGAGTCGGCCGTCCAATAGAGGGAAATGAAACTTTACCTTTAGCCGACGAGGCGAAGTCGAGGGCGATTCGTCCCGAGTCTCGTTACTTTTTTAAAATTAAGTCCACATCAGCCGACGACATTTCTCTTTCTGCTTTGGATGGCCATTACCCGTTCTCGACCAGTTTCGCCCGACGCGGCTTCACCGACCCAAAGGTGCGGGGTTGTCACAAAATCCGTCCCCCGATCCAAAACAACCCTTCAACGTAAATCTGACGGACTTTTTTCCTTTAGAACATTTCACTGAAACAAATTCCCTAGCTCCATCTCTGAGTTATAAAATCCAAGTTATTGAACACGGGGTTTCAAGAAGCCTACGATAGATGGAGGCAGAGAGACCTCTACACGTCTTTGGATCTGGTACCAGCTTATAAATTACGGTAAATGACTAATTCTAACATTTTTCATCACTAGCTAGCATATATTTTACTCTAAATCCTACTTCTAAAGTTTCAATTCAATTTTATAAAATTAACTAAACTTCAAAATTTCTTTTTTCTACCCTATTCATACTTTTTTTCAAACACCTAAAATATTCCCCCTTCTTAAAGGCTCTTAAATTTGAAAAAATCTGCCCTAGATTCCCTTTGAAGTTATAATGTCAAGCGTTGAGTGAACGGCGATCATGAACTCAAGAGATGGCTATCACTAGAGATAGTTGCTTTTCTGGGCCACCAGAAGATGCCATTTCTGACGCTCTGACGGCCGAGACCTCTAACACAAACCGTCCAAACTATTTAATGCCATAAAGTAATTAACGCAATAGAATATGTAATATGCTTCAGTATTAACAAGATACAGATGTGCCACTTAAAAAAAAAAAAAAAAAATTGGATAATTCCAAAAAATAATGGTTTTTCAAAAAGTAATATTCCAAAAAATGAAAATAGGTTTATTGAAAAAAAAAAAATTAAAAACAAGATGGTGTTATAAGTAAAAATTGAAATTTACTCAAAGACAATAAAACGGACACTTTTTTGTTGGTTATTTCAAACTGCACGTTTTTTTATTGTTACACTAGTTTTTTACCTGTGACTTTGTCCAAGTGGGACCCTTTTTTTTAATGTATCTCTCTAATGTGATGCATAGTGCTAGTATGGCTTTCTAATAATGTCTCTTTTCTCTTCTTCAGTTCACTTTGGTCTATATATGGTAAAAAATTGCCCTTAGGGATGGAATTTCAAAAAATCCAATTTTTTTTAAATGAGGGTTTGTAACAGCAGAGGTCATATCGACCCTTGGAGTGCTGTTTTTATTTTTGTATTTTTAAAGCTCATTTGAAGTATGTTAGGTTTGAATGCAGGGCTACGGGTTTTGAAACCTGGGACCTTTACCTTACAGCGATGAGTGCTTTGTCAACGCCTAAACCGTTGTGGCCACCTATCCCCCCTATCCTTATTATTATGGGATTGCACTGTCAAAATTTCAGCACTTTAGATCCAGAGGTTTGGTCTATCCAATGTTTGTCAGTCAGTCAACTTGAAGTCAAGGAACTTGAATGTACATACAGATACATATAAACTAACTCTCGTTTTCTAAACTGCCAATATCTCATTGTCACTTCTGGTTGTTATATTATAAATAAATGGACAAGCAGTTCTGTACAAACACACAATCAAAAAATCATCTTCACACTTGCTGAACCCTGTTGAAAATAATCTGGCAGAAACTGCATCCTCAGCGATGTGGTACTTGTATCCTTCAATTTTCAAACACTAGAAGTCTGGTAAAATTTATTCCCTCAGAGTATTTGATTTTCATCAGGGCGGGTTTAAATCCCCCATCCGCACTAATAAATTACTTTCACTCTTGCCACAAAGTAATCGATAATCCTTAGATTATTTACTTGTAATCAAAAGTGAATGGGTTGCAATTTTTGATGTTTTTTAATTAATTTAATAAATCTCACATATTTTTATTTGAGATGGCTGTCTTACATTAACGATTAAAAGGTTTATTTTTACAATTTTGCTGGTATGGAAATTTTCCTGCCTTCCAATTTGTCCTAAATGTATTGTGTGTATGAAAGAAGCATGAAATTTTTGAAGTAGGCCATAAACTAAGCTTCAAAATTATTAAGAAAAAGTATCACGATAGTTCAATGAAGCAATTTTCATTCAAATAACCGGTGGCCTGTTGGGGTAATAGCCCCATTCTATAATTGGAATCATGGAACGATTTATGAACCATACATTATTGTTAATTGTATATGAGTTTTGTTTTCTCATGCAGTTTTCAGTCATTTTAGTCCCATCCAATACAGGAATAGATCAGCGAGTGCAACATGGTATCACATTGAGGGCTTAAAACAGAAATTAAATTTGGACGCTTTGACAACAGTATGGATATGACCTGGTGATCCTCTTTCTGAAGAATGGAATTTCCAGCTATTTCTTCTTAGTAGGTTTGTTAAATCTGTGCACGTCTATCGGTATACGATCAACAAAATTGCCTCAGCATAAGGTTTTTTTTATATAGCCACCAAGGGCTGTTAAAACTGCACAATCTAGTTTTTTATTTTCTGTAAGTTCTGAATGCTCATCTCAGCTTTGGTGGAGTCTGATGTAACTTCCTCCTCACCTGGCAACAAATCTGAAATGAATCCGTGAATCTGCCCTTGTATTTTAAAACAGTAAGGTCCCAATTTCTGGAATATCTTTCCCTGTGGCAGGAAAAAAAAAAAAAAATCAAATGTTGTTATAATTCCGTTTATTGTTCAAGGAATAATAAATTAATTAATACTTCCTTTAACTCCAGACTAATTTGTGGTTCTGGTAACATTGTGGCAGTTACAGTACAATACAGTTTACAGTGCAGTTAGTTTGAATTCCGGCACCGGTCCCACTACACCCACCACCCTTCATATATTAATTAATTATCACCCTCACAATTTTCATAGTTTTGATCATTTTCCTAATAAATTTGAGGTCAGGCCTTTCGTGTAAGCCATCAAGGATGAAAATCCATGTAGCAGATCAGCTGTAATTTTGATTGGAGCTTTGGGTATTCACAATGACATATAAAAATACGTGAATTCATGTACTTAATAAGAATGTATCTGTTGATTCTGATATAACACTAAGACTAAAATAAATAAAATTGTCAGTTTAAAATATGTTCCAGATAGATACTATTTGACACAATTTTATACACCATTGCAGTATATAAATTACCGTTACAATTTGCAAAAATAAATAAATTACATTTGATTAAGTTTAACAAAATATTTCTACTTTGTAATCACTATTTACAGGATATCACCGAACCAAAATTATTTAAATGACACAGCACTTTTAGATAAATCTTTTCAAAGTTTAAAAAACAAAAAAACACGTTATAACATTGAACAGTAAATGTAATTTCACGTCACGTAAAACAGCAATGCATCCAAAACAAATTAAATTGATTTAAAATCAACTTTCAATCTTCGACTAATATTCATATTCCCTCAATATTTCCTTCAGCAGAGTGGTGCTTGGGGGAGCCGTTGTAAACAAACTTCCTACAAAAAAAATACATACATATAAAAAATGTAAATAAAACATAATAGCATACATTTGCCAGTATCATTGCAATTACCAATGAATTTATTCGAGGCTTTGTTTGTTATTATTTTGCAAGAGCCCTTCTCTTTAATTTGGAAGCCGATACAACGGAAACGCTCATCTGTTTTGTACAGATGAGCGGAGTTATGAGGTGTTCCGAACGGGACACCGGAAAAAGGATTAATAAAATCAGCCCAGTAGCCGGCCATCTTTAGTTTATGGCAAATGTCTTGTGCAGCCCACATGAACTAAAAATGCATTTAATAAAATAAAAAATCAAGTTTTCTGTTTAAAATTGTATTTAATTACCTGCTTAGTGAGTTGTTCAATGTCATGCTCAGTTATCTTTTTATGTTTCTTTTGCGAGAGTGAGACAACAGTCAGCTGACAAGCACTAGTGTCAGTCCCTGGAAACAGCTCGGAGATTCCTGAAATAATTTTGCTCAATAAAATAATACTTTTTTTTTTGTTTTAAATATGACAATTACCTTGGCGTAGTAGTACAGGGCATTCTTGAACATCACATTCCAACTCTGCTGCATCAATACCAGTCAACTAAATAAAGAAAAATGAAATGATAAACATCTACAAAAATTTAGTTTTTCTTCCTTACAGTTGAAGGTATGAAGGAAGCTGATATTTCATCATGCCATGCTGGGCCCACGCTGCCAGGGAGGTAAAAGCGAAATCCTTGTGGAGCCAGCAGCTCCCAGTTTGTATGCGTGGCTAGTTGCTGTTTTGCTACATCTAAAACAAAAACATCTGTGAATATTGACAGGTAGAAAACGTGGGCACCTATGATATTTTTAATTTTTGTTATCAAGTATTTCAAGTATAACACAAAATTTATTAATGTTAATACCCCCAAGCCGCAAGGGCTCTGATTGCTTCTCTCAATTGTCTCAATGCCCACTCAGCTACTGCGGTCCCTATGGGGCAAGGTAAAACAACCCCTTCCTTTCACGCTAATAAATTACATTTATTCCAATAATTTAACATAAAGTCAAAACAGACGCACATAAACTCTATATATATTTAAAAAGTAGCCCTGTGGTACTGAATGCTGTCCAATATGCCAAAATATTGTCTAGGTATGTCAAGCCATCTACAATCGAAAAGGTGCTCGACTGTTATTCTATCATTGCATAACAGGCGCCTATGCGGTTGCATGAAGGTGCCCGTGTGTTATGCTTGTATGGCCTATGTGTAATTTAAGTATTTTTATATCATTATTAATTAAATGGTATAGCTTGACATCGTCAGCAAAGAGCAAAAATTTTATATTCTGAGGGAGAAATTCAGCAACATCGGTAATAAAGATCAGAATTAATAAAGGGTGTGTGTGTATTTGCTCAATACTCTTGTGAACATACAACATTCCTAAGATCAATTTTATGTAACCTGACCCTCTTGAATAATAGAATATTATGGATTTGTATAAATTACTTAAAAATTAATTAAACTATTAGAAAAATATGAAGAGCTTTCAATGACATATGTGTTGCATCAGCCATATGATTGTAATAATTGTAGACAATCATTTATGAAGGATGAAGGGATATTTAAAAAAAAAAGAAGTAATAAATTTTCATTTTACATTCTGTAAAATTACAGAATGTGTGGTTAACTGGAAGTGGATTATAACTAATAAAAAAAGTGAATTTAAATTAAGATGACAAAAGAGAGATAGCATCTCTCGTCTTACCTTCTGCTGGGTCGCTGGCTTTTGTGACAATTTTGTAGGTTCCTCTAAAATTTGAACTGCTTTTCCGAGAGTAGTTTGACTTTTGTACGGCTTCAGCCCATTTGTTACTTCCACGGAATTTCAATATTAATTTAGGAAACAGCATCTGCATTTGAAAAGACAATTATGAGTGTAAACTGTGGGCTGTTAGTATGTACTGTGTAGCCAAAGAGGGGAAAAAACGTATGACGTATGTCTGATGATGTTTAATGTCGTAATAAAAATAAATAAAAAGAATAATAAACCAAGTATGTTTTACCTTCTTTTATAAGTCATTTCTCCGATGCAGTGCCTTCTGCATGTGACCCAAAAAGTTTATTAAAGAACAGATGTGCTTTTCTAGATCATTCATTCGGTTTAAAGCTGCTATTTTTCTTTAAATATTTGTAAATTTTCATTAAATGTTTGATCCATTCGAAGTTAGCCAACTTGTAACAAAGAACTTTTGTAAACGTGGCAGTAGCCACATCCTGCAAGTTACACGTATTTCCGTTTGTCATCTTATTCAAACCATTCATAATTCATTCAATTCTGTATAAAAAGTGAATTGAAGCACAAAGAATTTTCGTCATTTGCCTCCTTCAACCCCACCTTACAAAATACCTTATTTTCCTTTAAAAATATTCTTTTCTTAGTCATTCAAACCTATATTCTTTTCTTAGTCATTCAAACCTATATTCTTTTCTTAGTCATTCAAACCTATATATTTTATATGAAAGTAAACGTTATTTATAAAACAAGGAAACATTTAATACAATTGTATTTCTTCAGTTACATTTCATTATGGTTATTTCACTTCAAACACACTATTTAATAAACGTACATAGGGGATATGGATAGGGATAAAAGAGGTGGCCACAAGGCCTTCTCCAGCTTGACCGAGTAGATCTACTGTGCTCCCATTTTTATTTTTTATTTTTTTATAACTCACAGGCCAGCTTCAAGTTGTTAATTAACCTCCATAGCTTTTCCAGTCGCTCTTTAGTGTAACACCTTGCTTGTGGCTTTCCCTGTCCTATTATAAAATGTGTTCTGTGGTCTCCTCTTCCTGGCATTATCTGCACAATACTTCTTCTGCCTGTACTCTATCCGGTGCATGTGCTTTCTTAAGTAGCAGTGCTCTGTATAGGAGTCCAACCAGAATAATAAACACAAATCCACACACACACACACACACACACACACACACACACACACACACACACACACACACACACACACACACACACACACACACACACACACACACACCTCAAAACTTTCCTGAAACTGCCTAAATGCCATAAAAACACTGGGACCTACAAATAGCTAGGTGGGCACTAGGTCATGAGGTAATTTCAGACAATGAGTCAATAGACATGGTGATGCTGAGGATACTAGAAAGCGGGGTTTGGGCTCCCCAGGCACTGCAGCCATCTGGCTTATTGTATTTTTCTAGTTCGCTTGTTCAGTGCAATCAACTCAATCCTTCTTCTCAGAAGTATTAGGTCATTGACTGTTGGTGCTATAATTTCATTCCTTAGGTTTTTTGTATATTGCTAGGTTATGTCTTCATCGAGCTGTTGCTTCGCATTCAAAGTTGGTATGGGTGGCTGTTTTTTTCCTCCTCATTGCATAATCTGCAAATGGGATCATCGTTGTACATGCTCATGTTATGTAGATGTTTCTCAGATGCCAGTGAACTGTTAATAGTTCTATCACTCTTCTGAGTCTGGCCCTCTCCAGCAGTGAGTTTGCCAGTCTTGGTGAGAGTTGGTCAACAGACATACAAACTAAAAAGGGAGCCATGGAACAACTCATAGCTCAAATCCATTTTGTGGCATAAACTACAATGTAATCACATTAAAATGTTAGGGGGTTAATTCAAGCTTGAAGTAAGAAAAAAAGACTGCTCATAAAAACAACCCAGTGGGAGAAAGAAGAAATTTTGCTTAACAGAAACAAATTAAAAACATGTACATATCCTGTAAAAATACCACCTTAAAATGGGACTATCATTAGATGGCCAATGTCGATTACGTCTACAAGGGACTGAGACTATAGAAAATAATGCATCCCCCACAATATCTAGAACAAGGCTGTGATACCTATAGATTTTGATACCATACCCCTGAGAAGAATTCTTTACTTCTTAAAAGAAACCAAAATCTTCCAGGAAAACTATTAACACAGATCAATACAATAGACAAAAGTTTAAGTGGAAAAGAAAGAAACCCCCTATGATTTCAAATGGGGAAAAGAGCCCTATCAAAAGGTGTTCCTTAGAGGATTTGACTCATAGAAGAAGGGTCATCCTCACCCTCTTAAGAATAGGCCATGCCAGGTTGACACTTACTTTTGGACGAAAGTCATTATTTTTCAGGGATGTAGAACAAGGTTGTTTAATTTGTCCCACTGAATTAAAGGGTGTCATTCCTTAGCTCCATATAGAGAACGTGTAGGAATGCCACCGATTGTGAAAATTGGGGTTTGAGTGGGGCAATGAGCCTTTGAGACCTTTGTTTTTATTTTTGGAGGAAAGAGGCTACCAGAATAAAAGGGCTCCTTTAATGTAGCCGGGTAGACATCTTGTGTGTATTGAATGTGAATGTATTTATTAGAGTGAATGTGTAGTGTGCGAGGGTTGTGGAATATTGAATACCCCAAAGATCCTCAGTTAGACTAGTTATATGTTATGGGAAAAGTGTGATAAGAGGAAAATCATGTACCTTAACTGAGTGAATGCTATGTAAATAGTAAATAATGAATGAGAATATGCCTAGAGTTAAAAATCACATGCCTTGAGGGCTGAAATGACATTACTGTTGACAGTCCCTGGAGCCTTACTTTGATACCAGGCCGCGGGGGAGGGGGGGTCTGATCACAGTCCAAATTCGAGAGAAGTCATAAGCTTAATTCTGTGTACATATATGTATACTGTATATGTGTATGGATGAATATACAGAATTGAGGTTATATAAATCAATCAATGAAATGTATTTTATTAAGTTTTAGATATAATAATATAGTACGCATCCATATAAACTTTGAAATTTGAGATGCAAATGAAACCAGGAAAAAATAAACAAGTCTTTATTTAATAAAAAATGTATTTTATTATTTTATACATTTATTATCTTTTGTGTTTAAATATTTTATAATACTGCTTTACCGTGGAGCCCTCATACAGGACAAAAGATTAGGAATTGGTCAAAGGCATATTGCATGTTAATCTTATATTAATCTGCTCTTTAAAGCGTCGTTTGTATCAGGATGACAAAATCTTTTTTTATTTTATTTTTATTTTTTTTAATAGAGCTACACTGCATTTATAAGAACATATTTGATATAATATTACCTTATATTAATTTATTTATTAATTAACAAATATTATTATTTTTTAAATAAAAAGTTATATAATATAAGGTACTTTTTTCTCTAGAATGTAATAATCACAAATATAAATTTGCAAGTTTTGATATTAAAAATGATTAAAAACAAAATTTTGCCTTTTTATCTATGTTCCTTCGTCCTGTTTGGATGGTGGCAATGATGGCTCATTTTTTGAGTCATTAGAACGACTTTTGTCGCCACCTGGAATGAAAACTTTTCTTAGTAAGTTTAATAAAAATTTAAAAAATAAAAAATTACCCGGAATTTTCTTCTTGCATTAAACTGTTTTAGCCTTTCAACTGCTCCTTCCATGTGAGTCTGTTTAGTGCTCTCTCCGTTGACCCATGGATGCAGCAATGCTTCTTTTGCACTCAACCTTACTGAAGGTTTACTGCTCAACATCTGTCATTTATTAATTTTATCAGTATGAACAATCAATAAAAAAATAAAATAAACTAAAAAAGTAGCTTTCTGTTAAATCCCACTTCTCTCAAAAGGTGTTTAACTGAATATGAAACATCTTCCCAACTCGGTACCGACAATCCTGGAGAAATTTCAATATATTCAGATGCATCTGTTTCCGGTTCGAGGCCAAATAGCCTAAATATTAACAAAGAGATGTGTTTTTAGTAAGTAACTTGTCGATGCAATAATAATTAAAAAAACATACATTACATAAAGAACAATTCCTAAACTCCAAATATCACCAGAAATAGTAGGAACATCTTCATTCTCAGGAGCTAAAACATATTAAAATTTCATAATCTTTTACTTTTATATATATATATATATATATANTTAAGTATGGAAGGTATATGATTGAAAAAAAATTTTTAGATTGCCTTATAACATTGTTGATGAAATTTTCAAAAGATGGTTTAAGTTATATTTACTAAATAACGATAGTTGATTAGTTTCAGCAAAAACCACGGATTTTTATCTGAGAATAATTGAGAATTTTTGGGAAAAAAAATTGTAAAGTGGTATGAACTCTTGTCCGCGTAACCCAATGCATAGTTGTTATTAAGCCATCCTCTATACCATATTTTATTATTATTATTTATTTGACTCCAAAAATTTTATATAGCCATTTTTTTACAATATTACATTATTATTATTATTATTGAGAACTAGATATTAGGATATTTTTATACACTTTTATACAATCACACAGTAACACTACTATTTCTAAGGAAACCAAGTTAACTCACGATATACCGCCAATACCAGCGGTTCACTTTTATTAAAATTAATAAATTTTTATATTCACTTATTTTAATTGAATTTTAATTATTTTAATTCACTTTTATTACTTTTTAAGTTCCATTTTCATTCCACTTTCAAAGTGCTGAACTTAATAGAAAATTTGTGTAGAGGTGAATGTTAAAAAGGCAAAGCACACTAAATGCAATATCACACTAAATAATAATGCTCCATACCGAGTAGAATTGCAAAACAGAGTTTCATTTTAATGAACTAACAAAAAATAAAATGTCAAGTGTATTATATAGCTGTGAAAGTAATAAATCACAAAATAGGAAATGATTTTTTTGATAATTTATTTAGAAATCGTGAGATGCGGTCTGGTGTGACGTAGGTTTCAGAAAAACATTTTCTTTATCGTGCCAACGTTTCGATCTTTATTGAGATCATCTTCAGGGCTCAAAGTGTTTGTCTTCTGTGTAATTGTGCCATTCTTGCGTGTTGTGTTGAGTGTTTTTTGATAATGATTTTTTTCAATTTCATATTATACAAACATAATTATTTTTACATTCTTCCTAATAATTAAGTACAGTTAATCAATAATCCAAAGAATTTTTTATAAAGATACACATTTTTTATTCAATTTTCTTACCAACATAAACCGTTGTGTAGGTACTGGGTGTATGACTAGCAAATGAGACGTCCCTAAGTTTAAGAATAGCCTCAGGGTCTTCAGATTGGTATATCAGGCTCTCAGGTCTTATGTCCCCATGGACAATCCCTTTGGAATGAAGGCACTGAAAGAAAAAAACAAGAAAATCAAAATACAATTTGCATGTAAATTTTTACATTTACCTCTAGTGCAGAGAGTATGCTGTGTGTTACATGAGCAGCTTGCACCTCACTATAATGTCCAAGTGTAACTATTCTTTCAAATAGTTCTTCTCCCGTGATCCTCTCGCACAGGAACATAACTTCATCTTTTGTTTCGAAACCCTCAAAAATATGGATCTACAAACAGTTTTCGGTAAGACTAAGGCAATTTGTGAAAAATCATCTAATTACCAAGTTGGTGTGTCTGATTTTTATTATCTGTTCGAGCTGGTTTTTGATCTTTTCTTTATTGACATCTTTCTAGAAAAGTTAGAAAACCTTTTATTTTCATATTTTCAAATGATTAAAACATAATAATGATACCTTATTATAAATTCGGCATGCCCTCTCGGTTTTTCCTTTATAAAGGCATTTGTATACTGTTGAAAACTGCCCTCTGAAACAAAGAAATTTACTTTATTGGTATTGGATAAAAAGAAAAAAAAACATTACATTGAATCTCCTTTTAATTATTTTGAGATAATGCTGTGCAACATATAAATAATATTATGTACTACGAAGAACCATCGTGAATTCAGATAACGTGGTTGTATTTATACTTAAGGAAGAAGATATTTTTTATGCTAATCGCTGAGCTTTAGCAATTGATATTTAAAAAATATTTTTAAAAAAATTGATATTAAAAATGTTTAATTACACTTAGGTCACAAGGCCAGTGATTTTTCAATCATTGGATTTACAGATTTCTGGTTGAGATGACGGGATCTTTATGAGAGCAAAGTATCATCTGCATGCGTGGTAAGGATAGTATTAGATAGGATAGAAATGTCTGATACAGGCCCTAAGGTTCCTTGGTTTGCCCATGCAATTGTGCAATAGCTGGCTGATAGAGACGAACCACTGATGACTTGAAAGTATAGTTGGTTTAGTAGGATTTTAGGATCAAGTAGTAGGTAGAAGGAAGGGCTCTTTTAAGCTTCCAGAGTAACTCCGAGGGCCATCATTTAACGTTTATTCAAATAAGTATTAAAAGAAAAAAATTAAGAGTATGTTTTTTTTAATTTACTTTAAAAAAACCAAGATAAATGATCCATGGTATTGGTTGATTTATGTTAATAAAGCGTTCATAATATTGTAAGAAATTGATTGTTATTATAATATTATTATCTTATTTCTTTGAAGATTAGCAATAGGGAATAGCCGAAAAATCATGGGGAAAACCAAATGAATCTCATCAACCAATGCAAAACACCAGACAAAGATAGTGGCATTTAATTGGATTAGATGGGAATCCTTTACCTATTAGCTGCTACCAGAGCATGGACAGGTCAATTCTGATACTTAACAGTTCTTAACTTGGTCAAATATAATCAAGGAAAAAATAATTTGAGTTTGTGATGTGATTGTTGACAATTGATAACTGTAGAATTGATTTTAGACAAATCCACATTCTGTCAAAGTACTCCAGTACTTGCACATTAGTCGCATATTCGCATCTTCAAGGTGAAAAAAGAGCAGAAGGCTGGTTGCGCATGACTTTTACTTTTTGCATTGATAACACTTCGAATCAGTTATCTCTGATCATCCTCATCTGTTATCACTTAATTTTAATAATAATACCACTTAATAATAGTTGTAATAGCTCTGTCTATCTGTTTATGTCTCTCTCTCTCTCTCTCTCTCTCNTTTTTCCACTCTTTTTCTTCTCTCTCTCTCTCTCTCTCTCTCTCTCTCTCTCTCTCTCTCGCGCGCGCGCGCTTTCTCCCTTTTCTTAACTTTCTCACTTTCTTCCTTTCTCTTTCTCTCACTTTTCTCTCTTTTTCTTCTCTCTCTCTCTCTCTCTCTCTTGTTTTCTCCCTTTTCTTAACTCTCTCACTTTCTTCCTTTATCTTTCTCTCACTTTGCTCTCTTTTTCTTTTCTCTCTCTCTCTCTCTCTCTCTCGTTTTCTCCCTTTTCTTAACTCACTCACTTTCTTCCTTTCGCTTTCTCTCACTTTTCTCTCTTTTTCTTCTCTCCCACTCTCTCTCTTTCTCCCTTTTCTTTACTCTCTCACTTTCTTCCTTTTGCTTTCTCTCACTTTTCTCTCTTTTTCTTCTCCCGCTCTCTCTCTCTCTCTCTCTCTCTCTCTCTCTCTCTCTCTCTCTCTCTCTCTATTTTTCTCTCTTTGCTGTTTATTGTTTTATTCTTTACATAAATAAATACATATTATCTTGTAAATTTATACAAAATTTTTTAAAATAAAAATATCAAAAACGTTTTTCATGTAGTCTAAGTGTAAAAACCAAGAGTCTGCATAAATTGTATGTATAATTGACAAGATAACACGTTAAATAGAAGAAAGGTCCACGAGACCTAACTTTTGCAAGGTTAAATAAAACTTTTAATCAATCTGCCTGCAATCAATTTGTTTTCTCTTTCTCTCATTTTCTTCCTTTCTCTTTGTCTCACTTTTCTTTTCTTCACTCTTGCTTTCTCTCACTTTTCTTTTCTTCTCTCTTGCTCTCTCTCACTTTTCTCTTTCTCACTCTTTCTTACTTTCTTTCTCTCCCTCTCGAGAGAGAAGAAGAATAGAGAGATTATGAGATTTACATAACTCCTAACACATTCCCCGTGCACGTACAAATGAAACTCAAACACACACATACGCACGCACGTGCGCACACGCATATTAATATAATATGTAACTCTTAAAACAAAGATTTTTCTAATAGTTGAAACCGTAACACGATTGATTTGGGCAATAAGAATAACTTGTTTATAAATAACCGACGTTAATGCGGTTTCTGACATAAATAGGTTTAGGTCAAGAGCATTGGCAATAATTATACCAAAGGTTGGAAACCCGATTTCTTCGTTGGCATCTTCTAAATAAATAAACCATCGGTGTTTACAAACAGTAGCGTTCTTAATGAAATTGTCCTTTGGAACGTACTGAAGTAACGACTCATCAAGAACACTTTAAAATTTTGATAAATCCGTTATTCCGAAAATTTTAACCTTATTTCCAAATAGCCTACTCAAAGAAGGGGCCGTTGAACTTGACCAAAAGATGAGTTCTTAAACTGTTTACTGTTAATTTTTAAAACAGGTAAGTAGCTCACTGTATGAGTCATAAATGGCGGTCTAGAGAAAAAATTGCATTGTTCTTAAGAAAGGGGGTCGCACGATGGCAATCCACCTTGACCGAGAAAAATCCAATTATTGCTGTACGTCAAGGACTCCTAAGACATGAATTATCAACCAAAACTGAGAGGAAAAAGAAAGTGGCCACCATTAATATTTTTTAATAAGAGATCTCTTAGACAATCCTCTATTGATTATCTTACAACAAAATTTGGTCCATCTTAAAGAATTATAGGTAAATAAAACTCAGGTAAAATCTCCCACTTGCTTAAGATTGGATTTTGTAAATAAATCTTTGGATAGTCAATCTCTTCTTTGTTGGTTTTCTGTAAAGCTTCTTTCTAACGTTCCGGTAGTTTGATTTTTTTAATTTCCACCAGTTAAGTTTCAAATTAGTTTAAGTGAATTAGATTCGACGATTGTTGGAAGATGGAAGAAGTCAGGCGTATGTGGCCAGGGTGCTTAACATTCCCAGAGCAACCATCAGAAGGTCTTCAATCACTAACAACTGGAGGTTACTCAAGAAGGCATCAGGTCGCCATCAGAGAGATGATCGTTTTATTGTTTCGAATGTACTCCGTAATCGACATTACACTGCTGTCGAGATCAAGCAACGACTTCAACAAGTAGGGATGTCGAAAGGGCGAAGACTTTCAGAAGCTGGATTACGTGCGAGAAGGTCTGCCTCTGATCCAGAACTTTAGACAAAGCACAGAACAGCTCTTAAGTTTCGCACGAGATCACATAAATTGGTCTGAGAAAGAATGGACTAAAATTTTGTTTTCGGATGAGTCAAGGTTTTGTTTGTCTTCTGATGGCTGTGATAGAGATGGAGAAGAACAGAAAAGCGATATATCCCCGCAACATTTTCACTCCGGAGACGTTTTGGAGGTGGTGGTGCTATGTCTTGAGCAGGCATTTCTATGGAAGGTCGAACATACTTGATCTTCATCAAAGGTTCCTTAGCAGCTGTGCAATACATTGAAGATGTGCTATTAGAAGAAGTTCCTTATATGACACTAATTGGCTAGGCCCCACACAGCTAGGATCGTTGGTGACTACTTAGAACGGGCTAGTCAATGTTTACTGGAGTGTCAACGTGCACTTTCCGACTTAAACCCTTTCGAACACCTTTGGGACGAGTTGTCAAAGAGGGTAAAAAGTCGTCAAGTATGCCGGAGAATTTGCAGGAATTAAGAATGACGCTGTTGGAAGAGTATGAAAATATTCCAATTTTTTAATTATCTACATTAATTTTTTTAAAAATATTCAGCGATCACGTTTTTGCATCGCAGTGTAGTCTGTTCAAAAAAACAGTCTATATTAAATTAATCTGCCTTTGAACGAGAATAACGTATAAGCAATAAAAATTAAAACAAAGAGGTTGTGAAGTTCTGCAAATACCCCCCCCCCCCATCAAACGTATGTGATTTGATGATTTAAAAGGTAAAACACACACACACACACACACACACACACAAATGCTCTAACAAACAGGCAACTGGCTATAGTAAAAGCACTAAAGTGGGTAGATAGTCAGCCTAAAAATTTACAACAAATAAGAATAGCTACTGACAGTAGAATCACCATTGACTCATTGCTGAACACCAAAATACATCTGCCCCTTAGAAGACATAAGAAGTAACCTAAAGCGGATAGGGAAAAGCGCACAGTCTCATTCTCATGGGCACAGCGGGAAATGAGATCGCTGACCAAATGTCTAAGGCTGCTTCCCAAAACGAACACTTGTCATTTGCACATTCAAAGGTCCCTCTATCTGCAGTTAAGAGATGGCTGAATCAACGCAGCTTGGCTAGATGGGAAGAAATTTGGTGTAACTCTATCCAGGGACGACTGACCAGGGAATTCTTTCTATCGGTCTCATTCCAACTGCGAATGGACTACAGGCGTACTCAAATCCTGACAGGACATGAAAAATTGGCGGAGTATCTCTTTCGCTTTAATATTATCCCCGACCCATCTTGTTCTTGCAGTCGGGCACCTCCTCAGACTGTGGATCACCTTATGGAGTGCGTGGCTTACGGTGGCCGCCCCCAACAAAGTCATACTTTTTGGAGACCGAAATGCTACGTATTTTATGAACTGACAATTACTTAAGGTTTTTGGTTGAGATAAAAAAAAGTTAATGGCACGAGAGGGATTCGAACCCACGACCTTCGGCTAGATACGCCGCTGCTCTACCACCTGAGCTATCGTGACCTCGATCCACTCGGACATCAACTGCCCATCTCAACCCCACCTTTTGAGTTTTCCCTCCTTTTGCCATTTTTCAAATCCGTCGTGGATTCGAATCCCTCTCGTGCCATTAACTTTTTTTCATCTCAACCAAAAACCTTAAGTAATTGTCAGTTATTAATTGGTCAAGCGGACCACGAAAGTAGTGAATTAGTATTTTATGAAGTTGTTTTCGGGAATAATGACGTTCATGAATAATTAACACTTAAAAAAAGTTAATTTAATTGTGTTAATCATTATTAGGAGGTAAATATGCTTTGTAATTTTTAATTATGTTATTGTTATTATGTTTATTTCATGTAATACTTAATGTAGTTTAAAAAACATTCACATGCTACTGACTTCATTTTGAGAAATTTACTTTGTACGATGTCATGTGATGTCAACAGCTTAATCTGGCGACAATAAATCGAGGAAAATGGATTATATTCTCATTGGTATATGAATCATATGTATGCCAAAGATAATGGAGTATGTAGATTACTGTTTTCTTTGTCGGACTCTTAGTCAAACTTCGTCAATCATGACTTACATCGTCCTCGTGTCGTTTCCAGCCAACCAAAGTCCACAGAAGCTTCATTATAACGAGAGTTAACGTTTTATAAAATTTTATACATTAAATATCTGCAATACGTTGCATAAGAAAGCATTTGGAGAAAGAATTGTTTTTTTCGGAATCACATTAAATCATGGACACGCTCAATGAAAATAACGTGACGAGAATAATACGCTAATAATTAATTTTTACATAATTTACAAAACAGATTTTTTTTTCAAAGGCTTCTAATTATTTTATTCATTGTTTTTTTAAAAAAGTGTTTGTATTTTCCGTGTTTTAAATAAAACATGTCGCCACTCACTTGGCTATGATGTCCCCAAGTATGTAACGGTCTTCGATGTTTCCATGGCAGTTGACCAAATCTTCCATCTCGGTCATGGTGCCTAGAAAATTACGTAAAATTATTTTTTTCTCGCTATAAAAAGCAAGGTTTAAAGGGTTTATGAAGTGACTAGTTATACAAAGGAATAAACTCTGACTTCCTTTTCTTTCAATGTCAACTATAACTGCTAGATTATCTGTGTCAAATCCTTATTTTACAACTGACTGCTCCTGCATTATAGTAGTGGATGTCATATTTTTAAACGCATAAAATCAAATTTAAACAAATAAGTGATAATCCTTTTAACTACAGAAAATATATTAAGAAACCATTAGTTCTTGAATGATGAAATGAAAAATAATTCTTACATGAGGAGTCAGAGTTGTTTTTCATCAATAACACATTTAAAGCTTCTTGCTTGAATTTATTTAATTTTAATATGTAGTATTCAGTTTTCATTTAATAAGACAATTCTGTCATCAATTTAATCGTCCCTTCGCTTAAGCTTGATTTTTACTTGATATAAGTTTTTATGGGATGTTAGAATCTATCATGGCCAACCCATCATCCTGAAACAAATAACTACCGATCCTACGAAACACACCATTCGAAAGCTTATTACATAAAACAGTTTTTGTGAAATTTATCAATCTCTAGGAATTTGATCACAGAGTAGAGAATTTTTGAAATTTTTCAAATATCATCTAATATTTATATTTTGTAGGCTTGTACCAGCTAAACGTCCATTGGCTGGAATAATTCAGTAGACGACTCATTCTCTAGGCAATTTAACGTAGATTTTAAATAACAACTTCAATTTTTATGAGAAAAAAAATCCGTTGGTATCGTAGATAAACGATTTTTGTGTATGAGGAATCTGTTTTTTTTTTTTGTGAAAAATTTAAAAGTTGGTTTCTTTTAGATGAAGTAAGTTAGAAAACCCATTTTTCGGCATTCAACTCCATTTACTGTCTACCATAACCCAATATTTTTTTATATCTCATAGCAAACCACCCTTTATATGATGATCTTTCATTTCTGAACATTCGTCATCATCATACTATTATTTTTGTGAAGAGAGATTTGAATTTGCTGAAAAGAAGTTCTGATAAATTTTTTTATCAAAGATATAATTATAACTAGCAATTATGTTTCAGTTTCCCTTGAATTGTTCTATTTTTATATTATTAGAAGAAATTTTAAAGGTAGGTTCATAGCAGATATTGCCAAAAATAGTTTTGCCCTAACTTCTATGTTATTTGTGCATACTTTATTTCATTATTGTATACTACATTATATTCATACACTTCGACGTATCCTTTTGAACGTATTGAAGAAACGTTTTAATGAAAACACGTTTAAGAGATTTTTGAGCTAAAAACCTATGGGTTAGGTTAAGATAGGTAGGGAAAGGGACGCGTTTGGTTAGGTATGGTTAGTGTTAGAGATAGGTCAGGTTAAGATTGGGATTAGGGTTAGGGACGTGTTGGGTGATTAGATTAGTTAGGGTTAGGGACGAGTTAGGTTTCAAAAAAGTTTAAAATCTAGTATAATTCTGAACAGTAAAAATCTTTGTTTATATATAACTGACGCTAATGAGGTTTCTGACAAATACTTGTAGGCCAAGGACATTGACAATAATTATTATAAGGAAGGTTGAAAACCCATTTTCTATCAGGGTTGACGTCTCTTAAATAAACGGTTTACAAACAATTCCAATCTCAATGAAATTGTCTTTTAACGTAACCTTTTGGTCTGAAAAACGACTTAGGAAGAACACTTTTGAACAGATTTTTGAGTTAAAAAACCTTTGTCACCAATGGGAATTAGTAATTGTCTATTATAAGGCTAGGTAGGTTGGTTAAGGTTAGGGTAGGGTTGGGTTGGGTTAGGTTAGGTAGGGTTAGGGACAAGTTACGTTAGGTTAGGTGGGGTTATGGTTAGGTTAAATAAACCATCGGTTTATAAGCAATTTCAGTCTTGATGAAATTACCCGTTTACTTATCCAATTGAACATACTGAAGAAACGATATAGGAAGAATACTTTTGATCAGATTTTTGTTAGTAATGGCCTATATGGTTAGGCTAGGTAGGTTGGTTAGGGATGGTTAGGGACGTTACATTACGTTAGGTGGGGTTATGGTTAGGTTAAATAAACCATCGTTTTATAAGTAATTTCAGTCTTGATGAAATTACCGTTTTACTTATCCATTTCAACATCCTGAAGAAACGATATAGCAAGAACACTTTTGATCAGATTTTTGCTAGTAATGGCCTATATGGTTAGACTAGGTAGGTTGGTTAGAGATGGTTAGGGACAAGTTACGTTACGTTAGGTGGGGTTATGGTTAGGTTAAATAAACCATCGGTTTATAAGCAATTTCAGTCTTGATGAAATTACCCCTTTACTTATCCAATTGAACATACTGAAGAAACGATATAGCAAGAACACTTTTAATCAGATTTTTGTTAGTAATAGCCTATATGGTTAGGCTAGGTAGGTTGGTTAGGGATAGTTAGGGACAAGTTACGTTACGTTAGGTGGGGTTATGGTTAGGTTAAATAAACCATCGGTTTATAAGCAATTTCAGTCTTGATGAAATTACCCCTTTACTTATCCAATTGAACATACTGAAGAAACGATATAGCAAGAACATTTTTGACCAGATTTTTGTTAGTAATGGTTAGGCTAGGTAGGATGGTTAGGATTAGGGACGAATTACTTTAGGTATGCTTCATATCCATGGATAAATGCTTTTCCACGAAGCGTCGAAAATACGCGAGTTTTTTCTTCTTTTTTCCATAGTTCCCTTCTCCTGCATTTGCTAATTATGTTTCATAGGTTGGTTGCTTTAGATTTATGCTTTCATGAGAAATTAATTGAAATTTTAGATATGAGGCGTTTTTTGTGAAATTTATTTAGTTTTTGTGTATCTTCTACATATTTTATAAAATAAATTGTTTTGCTTTTCATTGAGATTTAATGCAGTATGTCTTATATTGTATCCCATTATACTTTCTTGAGGCATAAGTAAATTTCATTCATGACTTTTCGGAATAAATTTATTCTTTCGTACAACTCAAAATTTATCATTAATAAAATTGAATCAGTGTTATCAGGAAGATAAGCTTCTGACATAGTTATCTGTTTGCAGTTCACAATGGAAATGTCAGAAATCATCAGCAATAGGTGATCATCTTGTGGGAAAATGCTTACAAATATAACTATAGTTTATAAGTAAATTTTCACGTCATTAATATTTTATTGAATTTCTTCTAATTATTCAATGTTATGACTTTTTTAAATTAATCTATTTTGCGTTGACAATTTATCAAGTGAGTCACCAGGTCAGGCAGCAGAATTATTCTTGGACATTGTCCCGGTATGTTTGATTCGGCTCCTTTGGTCCATGTGTTTATTTGGTTGAACGTGACACACAAACAGTGAAAAAATGTCTAAGGATTTTATACTTAAATATGAAGTTGAAGTTGTAATAGAATTAGCAACAGCAACAAATATGGGGTTGAGATTGTACGCCTACTTTTATTTACCAGTACTTCAAATTGGAATTATATCTTGTTTTTGAGTTACTATTTAAAACCTTGCGCCCTAATCAGTTTAATCTCGAAAGATTCTTGGCACATTTATGCTAGTTTCTTTATAAATATTCCTTGGATGTGAAATTAAAATTCTTGTTGACGTTTTAGTAATCCCTTTGTGATTTATGCAACGTAAATTGAGTTAAAATTTATCTTTTGGCCGTATTTTGTAAAGATCTCATTCTTTACGATAACGAACAGTTTTAAAATCCATCAAAAGAAGGTGAAAATATGCGATCTCGTTTAATTGAGTCAATTTTTCTTATATTTCGACCTCAACAGTTTAACTTATGATTTTTCCTTCCTGAAGGTGGGATAATAGGTCATCTCAAAAAAAACCACAACCAGTTTTTATCCATACGTTTCGGATTTATTTTAATCCTTCCTCAGGTGAGTTAACGCAATGGTTAAAACAGTGGTCGTCAGTCATTAATATTTTATAACAGTTTATTTTAAAAAAAGAGCCAGTGTGGTACTTATTCAGACTACGAACAAACGTTTTAATATTTTGAACCTGAAGTCAGGTAAACTGTTATAAAATATTAATGACTGACGACCACTGTTTTAACCATTGCGTTAACTCACCTGAGGAAGGATTAAAATAAATCCGAAACGTTGTGGATAAAAACTGTTCATGGTTTTTTTTAGATGACCTATTATCCTACCTTCAAGTAGGAAAAATTTAAATAAATAAAATTTAGTCAATTCCTTAGTCGGTCGCGGAATTCTTTTCAGGCGTCCAATTTTTTATTTTTTAATCACCGATAAAAATACCATAAATCGCGCAGTAAAATCTCCAACGCCTAACGTTTTATTCGGCTGCATTAAAAAGCTCTTTAGATTTTATAATTTATTTATTTCTATTTAACGACCGATTTTGAAAATAGCTTGAATGTCACAGACAATGCTCATTATGTAATATTTATACTACTGAATTGGAAATTACGACCTAAACGTTGTATAACTAGGCAGAATTTTTCGAAATTGTTGACGTTGAACTAAAATGAAAAGCCACAAATGACCACGATCAGATGTGATTTTTTTATTATTTCAATCAAAGAATGGAAAAGGAAGACAATAGCTTTCCAATTTACACTCGGGTCAAGAGATCAAACAATTTACAGCTGACCCTGCGTCTTCAATAACATTGTATTATGTATAAATTGGTTGATTATTTCATTTGAGATGCCCTCGTAGAATACCCAGAGTACTTATGAAACAAAAGGAAAAACTATTAAATTTATATATAGCTGACCTCAGTCGATTTTTCTAAAACAGGAAATTCAGTTTCGAGTGTGATAGTCTATTTTATGATAGTGGATTGTTAATTTTTTTTGCCAATTTACGTTATAGCTTCGCAGCTTGGATTTTATGGTTTTGTTGAGAACCATTGCACCGTCAAAACTAAAACCTCGCAATTAAACAATTTATGATTTTTTTCAAGTGGTTACATCATTATCA